GGCCGTCAGCGACAGAGAAAAACAACAAAAACGAAAAAAGGAAAAGAGAACTTGCGCTTTCCGACGCGCAAAAGGAACCACACACGATGCCACAGAAAAGCGCTTTGAGCGTGCGCTGAGAAAGCTGCTGGGAAACCAAACCTTCAGCGACTGAAAAAAAAAATAACAACAAAGAAGGAAAAGAAAAGGAAAAGAGAACTCGCGCTTCCCGGCACGCAAGATGGACCGCACCCGACGCTACAGAAAAGCACTTTGAGAGCGCGCGCTGTCTCCGTGCCCGACCATGTGCTATGTTCTCCGCAGTACTCCACGCCAGATTGGTTGCGTTGGCTCGTGTCATTCGCTACGATCCATCTCAACGGCATAGAGGAGCAGGCGCATATTTGCGCACTTCTGCTTTGCAGCAAAGAGCCTGTGTTTCACCGTACATTGGTGGTTTTTCTACCGTGGTGCCGTGCAATGTGAGCCCGCGCGCATTCGCTCGGGACGAATTATCCGATGCGGAGTCGTTTTGAGTTCGAACTATCAAACTTTTCCTTCCATAGAAATGTAACGGCTCTCGCGGGGACTTTTGAACAGGATCGAATTAAACAAAAAGTCAAATTAACCGAGGTCGAACTAACGAAAGTTTACTGTACCAAAGAAAAACAATATTTGCGGTGTTTTATGTCCCGGTGAAGTGCGGGTGATTCAAATTTAAGTTTAGTTAGGTTTTCGGATATAAGCTGTGCTTTTATGTGGGCTTTAAAACAAAAAGAAAAAAACAGGGTGTCTAGCAAATTATTATTTTGAAAATCCCTGACTTTCCAGGTTTTCTCTGACAATTTCAGGTGAAATACCCCGACCACTGTGGAGGCGGTTAAGTATATAAGAACATTACAACACAAGGCATTGAGCATTGAGTACTTTGAGGATCATTTTGCATGGGCTTAATCCAACTTGCACATTCCGAAATATTCGGATTCGTCCAGTCCCGATTAAACTAGCACTTTCTTGCCGCCGACATCGTCAGTGAAGAGGCCACTTCTGGAAACACCATGAAAACACGACGCTCAACTACATACATCAATAACTAAATAGCAGCATGGCCGCCGGATGCACACTTTCGGATACTTTCGGCTTAAGGCTTGAACTGGATTGGGGTCTGCGGCATTCCCATTTGTTGCTAAATCTAGTAGCTCTAACTGGATCTAGTCTAGTGTCATACCCTCAATTCAATCAAAAGCTTGGACTGGATTTGTCGGCTGTTCCCTCTGCATCGGGCAGCACACTCAACATCGGGTGAGCAGAGCCTGCGCTCCTCTCTAAGCAGAATTTATTGCATATTTTTCTGCCCCCAAGTCCTCACCACTTTGCTCAGGGCACTCAATGGCGTTCCCAGCTCATTTTCCCTGACTGGGGTCGCTTTTTTGACAATATCCCTGACAATTCCCCGATTTTTCTTGGTAATTAAAATTTCCCCGGCAATTCCCAGTTTTCCCAAATTTCCTTGGTCGCTAGACACCCTGAAGAAAGCACTAAGTCAAGGTTCAGAAAGAGGAGGAAGTATTAAACCACAGTTGGTAGTCCAGTGGTATGTCTGTCTCTTTTTCTCTCTATATTCTATTTTCCTAAGTTCAGATGGCCCTATTATAGTATTATGCACCAACAAGCTCAACTACAGCCCGTTACTCACTATCTAATATTGCCAAGGCAGGCTGATACATGCTGGTTGCCCCCCTTTTTATTTTTAGTTATTCATACTTCCCACGACCAATGGGGAGCTGGTTGCCCCCTGATTTTATTTTTAGTTATTCATACTTGCAACGACCAATGGGGAGTTTCCTGCTGACATGTGAGGACACAGTTTTCCGCAGACCCTAAACCTTAACAGCTTCGCTGTAAAATGTGTGGCCTTAACGCACATTATGCTGTAATTTCCACATATTCTTCTTTAAAACACTTTCAGCCTTTCCACTCTGGTGAAGAGGGAAGACCAGCGAAGCAGTACTATGATGGAACGACTGCAAGCACGACTTGTTGGACAACCTCAAGGACGACGTCTAGAACGACCTCAAGGACGGCTTCTAGGACAACCTCGAGGACGACCTCAAGGACGACTTCTAGGACGACCTCGAGGACGGCATCTAGGACGACGCCTAGAGAAATTCAGCCTTTCCACTCTGGTCAAAACCAGAGTAGCTCATAGGTGGCGGTAGCTGTCCAAAGTTTTGTGTCAACATTTCTTTGCGGGGGACATGATCCTTGGGAAACTAGCCCTTAACAGCTCCATTGTAAAAATTAATGAGCTTGATCGTGCCGACAAAGACCGGTAAGTGCAAGATGTGCAATAGGCCTCCCAGGGAAGATGAGAAGGGCGTCTGGACGGTACCGCCGACCGAAAATCCGCTGTCATTTCTGGCACACGCCGTGAGTGAGCACTGCATGACCCAGGAAAAGCCACGAAGCATAAAAGTCTCGTGCAAACGAGCTCGCTTTTGTGTGGGCCGCACCACCGACTCTGGACAGCTCAGTCGGCAAAGCACTTGGCTGACAATCTCGAGGTAGTGAGCTCAAAACATGCCAAGGAACTGAAGTATTTTTTTATATGGTTTCCTATTGGTGTAACATTTTACGGTGTGGGTTTTTCGTTACAGCCAAACATTAGTTCCAGCCAAATATTACAGAACTCCATAAAAACTGGCTGATAAAACAGAATCTGCATTAAAAGAAGCATGTTGACACAAAGAATAATATCTAAAAATACAATCTGGAACCCTTCAACAGTGCAAAATATAAAGCTAGCACATCCCCCCTGCATCAAGTAACTAAATGCAGTGCATACAAATAAAAAAATTAAAGACGTTTACAAATCTCTGTAATGCGAAATTAGAGCACAGCTCTTGAGGAGGAGGAGGGTGACCTCAACACCAATTCAGTTTCCCCGCTAAATTTAGCAGGGAAAATGACGTCACATGACTTTGTGTCACTTCACCCATGAACAAATTCAGTTTCTTTGCTAGATTTAGAGGGAAAATGGATGTCACGTGACCTCAACCCCAATTCAATTTCCTGCTAAATTTAGCGGGGCGGTTACGGCAATGGTGCGCAACGGGAAAACAAACGGCTAAGAGCTGCGCTCTAAAAAAAATGAGCAGCGCTGTCTGATTATGCAGTACAGTCACAGCGATAGCTGCAACACCTTATTTGACTCTAATGTATCCCTCCGTGTCTCGCGCTTCACGAGGACGAACCGTCACCGACGCATGCTCCGAGAGCGACGTACTCCGGGCACTGCACGAGACTCGTACACACAGCTGTACATCCAGGTGTCCTCAACACGCGCAATTTACTAAGCGGCAGGTCGAGGCAGCTGGCGTAGCTCCGTGGTAACGCCAGCTTGACAGCCGGCGGACCGTGGATCTAATTCTCCGCATCGGGCCTTCTTCTTCGAGCATCTGGCAATCTCGACGACCAACACCCTAAATTGCCCTATCCACGTTGCCCTACCTCGTTCTGAGGGGGCAAGAGCCCCAAAATGGCTGTCACCGTAAAAATACAAACGACCACATAAAGTGCACTGTGATGTATGATGGTAGCTGTTGCATTGTTAAAAGATGCGCTCTAGGAGATTTGCTTTTAGACGACATGCAAGGTGCAATGCACTTCCCGTTACCGCTCTTTGGTAGGAGAGCGAATCTTCTGCAGTCTGGCCGTGTCAGTGGTCAGGAGAACTTAGCGAGAGTCGTGTTGACGCGCCGTCCAAGGACCTTCCGGAACTAAGGGGCGGCGCAGTGGTGGCAGAGAGTGAAGGGGGGGAGGGGGAGGTGAGCGTTGGTGCAATGCATCGTGCGTGTCGCAGTAAATGACGCAGTTGCACGAGGGACGAAGACGACGGGAGAGGGCGATGGCTAGCTTCCTCGGCGGCATAATCACTCTCTCCCCGCGATCACGCGGGTTTTTTCGCACGGATCCCAAGGGATTGCCCCCAAATGGGGCACTAACAGCCACTGCCATATAGGGTGATGACGATCAAAGTACATGTTTTTGAGAAATACTAAAATGGGCAGTCGGGCAAATATTTGTTTTGTGTAAACCTTCAATTCGTCGATCATTAGAAATGTTCCTTTCTGGAAATGTTCTTGATAGGTAATATTTTTCTGAAAAAGGAGGTAAGATTTGAAGGTCTTAGCAGTTATTCCGCGTATTTAATTAAGCCTTCAAAGGGGGACAAGGTGCTGGGGGGGGGGGGGGGGGGAGGGGGGGGGAGGGAGGCTTCATGTGCCAAACCAATAAGGCATCTGGCAAATAAGCCTTTGGTATTTTCAACTAAATACAAATAAAATTGTATGCTGCTTAATGCTCCTAAATGTCGACAATGTAAGGAATATGAGAACAAAGTAAGAGACCTAGGTATCAGTTCTGACTGCAATTAAAGCAACTAACCATGCGCAAGGTACCACCTCAAAAGTTACTAAACCCTGCTAAAGGCATGTGGGTCAAACAGTAGCGCACTCAGTCAATAGAAGTAGAACTTTCGCCAAACTACCCAAACACCAAGGAGAATGCTCAAAAAATAGCATAAAATACCGGAGAAGCGCTCACTTTGTTCAAGCTCCGACTGTATTAACATTTCCCAAACTTGGGAATTCGGCAAATTCTACGTTAAGTACTTGATTTCACCGGACAAGCGCCCGTGTCTAGATTACTACAGTTTTTAGTGAAAGTGGGGTGGGTGTTCCCCCAGCGTTTATGGTAGGTATGTGCGGTGCACGCGCTCAACTCATCAGCACGAAATACTCAAAGTAAGTATTCAAAACAAGGGTTGACAAACGACTATGTACAGTGACGTCCGTTTTAGGTTCTCGATTGGGAACATTTATTGCCGAGGATGCCAGTACCTGCGGCGCATGTAATTACGCCCACAGCATGCTCCTCACTGCCTGGGTAATTTAGCAAAAGTTCTCACGCGTACAAGAGCAACTGAGGACACACGTGACGACTCCAATAAAGTCTCCCACCTTCTGTTTGGGTGCCACACGTGCAAAGACACGGACGTGGGGAAGAATCCTCTTGAGGAAGTGGGACGCACTGTACGTGAGGTAGCTCATGCCCTGTTGAACCAAAGGAATGAGCATCCTTAAAAAATGTGCAAAATTTACATCACTAACGAAGCCATCACAAGTACAGGGCCAGATAAATAGTCTTAGAATTGTGACATGCTTACTATTTGGTATTTACCTTTTTTCTTCAAATATTTTTAAAGCCAGCTTAGCATAAATACTGAACAGTAGTAAAATTGTGTTATAGTGGTTTGACAGACTTCAAATTAGTGAGATGCTAGTATGACTTTTTTTTTTTTTATTGACAATTGCAAGCACTCCAGAGACTGACCGCATTAATATTTGTGGTCGCCTACATCAATGGACATCTTGTGCAAGTCGTGTAAGGCTATTTGACCGATCATTATACACTTTGGAAATAATATTCTGCAGAAGTACACTGCATGACACACTGCGATCCCAACATCGGCACTTTCTCAGAATTTATTAAGAGAGGATATTGTTGAGCTCAAACTTTTACCACTAAGGTTGGTCCCTAATAAGCAATGGCACCTATAGTTTTGATGAAAACAATTCTAGAAAAAAAAAAAAGACAAATCTTTGTTCAAGCTAACAGTGTAGCGCTATGTACATTTTCATGTTGCCATATATGTCTATTGCAAGCACTTTTCCTTTTATACAGTAAAAACAAAAAAGGAAACACTTTATAAAAAAGAAAAGGTTAATGTTTCATGTGTGGCAAGGAAGACATGAACGTGAGCCTACCCCCTGAACGCATAAGAAAAAAGAATGTGGGACATGAAACAAAAAGAAGCAATCCCATGTTAATCCACAGCACAGTCAGAGCGATAGCTGCGACACGTCACAGCAAAGTCGTTGGGCATCGGCGTCACATTCATTCACCCGTGAAGAAAAGCATTTGTAACAAAATAGACATCTGACCACTTTGTTCCAAATGCTTTTGTTTCTTTTTTGTTTCGGAGCATGTGAACGCTTGTGTCCTGGCACGAGTTTTTGGCCTTCACGGTGCTACGACGGCATTTTTTTACTGGACATTTCTTTGTATTTTCTTAGAGAGTGCGTGCACTGGGCATTGAGTACCACAAATTCCGAAGGCTATTGTTTCTTCTTTCATCCGGAGCGCATGAAAGCACGTCTCCTGGCAGAAGCTCTTGGCATTGACAGTGCTACAATTACACTTACAATTCCTAAAAGAGAGCCAAAAAGAAAGGAAATAAATTGTTTCTCTCTACCTGCACCACCTGACACTACAACAGGTTAAATCCAATTTAAAATAAAAAATGAGGGCCGTAAGATAAGAAATGAGGGCCGTAAGCAACAGTGCTGAAATGGTATTTTGTTATCAGCTATTTTTTTTTCCAGAAAGCATGTGCAGTAGGCATCGGGTACTAAAAAAAATTGGATGTGTGTTGGGCCACTCTGTCAAACGCAATGAAATGCGGTAGCTTTACAGGAGCATCGTTAGTGAAAACAATTAGAAAAGAAAATGGTACGGTGATAAAATGGTTGTAATATGCCGTACACACATCGAGGACGACGTCTAGGATGAAGTCAAGAACGGCGTCAAGAACAACGTCAAGAATTTCTAGAGCTACCTCAAGGACAACCTCAAGGATGACGTATAGGACGACGTAGGGGACGACATCTAGAACGACCTCAAGGACGGCATCTCGGATGACCTCGAGGACAACGTCAGGGACCTCTAAGCGACATCAAGGCCGGCCTCTAAGACGATGTTGAGAGCAACCTCAAAAACAACCTCAAGGACGACATCTAGGACAACGTTGAGGATGACGTCAAGGACGACGTCCTAGAGGGCATCAAGAACAAAGTCTAGGACAACCTCTAAGACGACAAGGATTACAAAAAAATGGAGTCTAGGATGACATCGAGGACGACATCTAGAATGACCTCTAGGACGACCTCAAGGGCGACGTCTAGGAGACAACCTCTAGGACGTCAGGTCAATCACGTCAGCACCGGCGTTTACGAGCTTACGCTTCAGCCACCATCGCTTCGGCCACGGGCGTTACGTGACCTTGAGCATGATTAGGCTCACAAAGCTATTGCTTTAAAACAACCCAAAGCATAAAGCGGGTTATTAAAGCTGTGGCGTAGCTTAGTGGTAACGTTTCCGCTTCGCACACAGCGGACCCAGGTTCAGTTCCCTCGGGCGACGGCGGCGAGTAATCTTTTTTAAGGATTCTGCAACATCGACAACGAACGCCTAACATCGGCAACTACAGCAACATCAACAATGGACGGCATTTCCAGCGGCGGGAAGAGCTCATAACAGCTATGTAAAAAAAACATTCAAGGCTGATCATGCTAACAAAAACTGGTAAGCACACAATGTGCAATAGGCTTTCCAGGGAAGAAAATGAGGGATAAAACAGGGCCTTCTACCAAGGATTTCCTTTCATTTCTGACACACGCCGCAAGATGGCGTTACATGACTGGAAAGGCCGCGAAGCCGTGAGCTCATTCATGTGCCGTGCGAATGAGCTCGCTCCTTGCGTGGTTCAAACCACTGAGCCTGGATAGCCACTGAGCCTGAATAGCTCAGCCGGCAAAGCACTTGGCTCACAATCTCGAGGTGGTGAGCTTGAATCTTGCCGGGGGACTGAAGTCTTTGTATACGGCTCCCCGTGAGCGTAACGCCTTTCGATGTCCTTACTGCCGGCCGTTACAGCCAGCGTTACAGCCAAACATTACAGAACTCCACAGAAATTGGCTTATAAGACACATTCTGCGTTAAAAAGACCCACAAATTGACTGCAACGTGTTTTCCCCCGGGTTCTCGAGTCTTACGACCTTCAGAAACCTCCGGCTCCCCTGAAAGACAGATGCAGATAACTTGGCATTCTCGCTAACTGGACAGCAAGTATCCATGCTCTAACAGTCGCATTGTTTCTAGGCAGTATGACACCACACAAGTTAGTGAGAAAGGCGATATTGTTTTGCTCGAAGCGACGCGGCACCACTTGGCTGAGTTATGCGTAAGGTGACCTAAATACGGAGAACTGTTTTGCTTCAGTCTGGATGACGAAGAAAGGACCTCGGTGTTGGCAGAATCCCCGGTTACTCTGGGGGTGCCCTAGAAGATATTCTTGGAAACCCTCCGCAGATACCCTACCAAACTGACGGGGTTACCTCGGCAGATCCAGTTTCTGAGCTAAATCTAATCAGAAGCCAGGTGATTTGATTTCTAGGATGCAGTCGCCGACCGATTATTCGTACTTCGCAGGGACCGAAAAAACGTCCGAATAATAGAGCAGTCCGAAAAATCAGCAGATTGAAAAACTTGCCTTTATTACTTGCAAGTGGGCTTAAAAAAGCCGTAAATAGTGCCTTGGTTCAGGTTACACCTCCGTTTGCGTTCGGCAACTTTCTGTTAGCCTGAGAATCACTGCCTTCTTTTCTAGCATTATGGTCAAGTACTTTCTGCGCTTCTTAATGACACATCGCGGCGGCAGAACAACAGATGGGGCCACGACATCCAAGCCAGCGCTGTCCGAATGACATAAGAAGTGCAAATCTACGAGCACAAAATGGCGACTGGCGACGCGAAGGAACGGAAAAGCAAAGCAAAATTATAATGATGATGATGATGATGACGTACAGCTAAATGGGAAAAAAAGGGTTAGTACAGCGTTACCTAGCAGTAGGACTCAGGGGTACTCAAGTAGCACTGCCAAACCAAGCCAATCCATTTGTAGCCAACATAGAATTCAAAATAGCCGCTTTTCGATGGTGTTTTCCGCTGATCGCTCGCGACGATTTTGTCCGAATAATTGAACCTTCAGACTTCAAGCTGTCCAAAACATTGGTCGTGAATATGCACTATTTCTATGGGGTAAGTCGCAGTTCCACCTTTAGGTCCGAAATATTGAACAAGTCCGAATTATCGGAGTCCGAAAAAAAACAGTCGGTGACTGTAATTGAAATGACGATAACTGATGCTGGACTAACAAAACCCTGTTTGCTGAGCAAAGGAGACAAGCTAGAAACAATGGGCACATGCCTACCCTCCCGCGCAGAGATCTAGTCGCAGCAATTCGTGGAAGTAGGCCCATGCATTAAGAATGGGAAAGACGAAGCATAGATGAAACGAGCCGTCTGAGAATGCAACCTCCTCCGTGACTTTGAGCATGTGAGTGCCGGGCTCACTAACCAATAGCAGACCTCTGTTCGAAGTCAATAGTGCTATTTACACATCTTCATTCCCCAATCTCTGTCCTCAAAATCTTTATTTGAATTAACTGCATACATATAACTGCACCACAGTTGTATATAACACACCATAGTCATTGTATAATTTATCATGACTTTTCAAGCATTCAAAGAAGTATTGTGGTTCACGACAATCTTCAAAATGCGAGGTCTCTTGCAAGATAATACGATAGACGCTCGACGGAATCCGACAACTCTGGCCGAGCGAGAGCGGGAATTCCGAGGGTCCACTTGCCTCTCCCGTGATGCAGAGGTCGTACTTGACATAGAGGTCGGGGTCGCTCAGTGATTCGTCCAGGGGAATCCTCACCGACTCGTCGATGCTCACCCACTCCCACACTGCAAGGAGAAAGTGCAGTTCTTAGAAACGACAAACGAGACAAAGCGAACCTGCCATTTCGTGAAGCACATCCCAAAAGCTCAAATGGGGTAAGATCTCGTTACTAGGGTGGCTAGAAGGCGAAGTGTGATGGGTAGGACAAAAGGGAAGGACCATTTAGAAGCTTCGAAGATTCGAATGGACCAAAATTGTGATTGCCATGGCAACTGAGACCGATTAGCCAATCACCTTGTGAGGCTTGGTCGTCTCTACGTTAGTATCTGCTTCGTGTCTGTCTGGCTAGCAAGCAGATAGGCAATGGCACTACTTTACCAGGGTCCGGTGAATTTAGTCTTGATGTGATCACCTACCTCAACCCCCGTAGTCCCTTAAAGAACACATGCAAACGAAAAAAATCTTTTTTTTTAAACAGCCTGGTGGAGAAAAGGAAGTAATAAAGCAAAATTATAACAAAAAATGAACTTTTTTAGAGCTATATTTACAGCGCAATACGAATTTAAAGTTAAATAGCTGCGCAATAGTGGCCACTATTTATCACGTGACTGGCCGCTATCTGTCACGAGGTGCTTCCGCTCTTTCAGATGCGTCCTATGGTCTCTGAAAGTGACTTATTCATCTTTGTTCGAAGTGCAACAAAAAACGAAGATTAATCGACATCTTGTAAACCCTGAGATGGGGAGGGATAAAAAAACGGACGAACACAACTTGAGATTTTGTTGTGTTCGTCCGTTTTTTTATCGTTCCCCACCTCAGGGTTTACAAGATGTCAATTGATTACCAGCTCGCCTGCACTCTCTCACTGCTTACAGAAGATTAATAAGTAACCTTTAGAGCCCGAAGAAAGCTCCTGAAAAAGCGTAAGCAGACGTGACAGACTTGTGCAACGGTCAGATGGCGGCGGCGGTGCCCCGTAAGAGACAAACTTGCACAATGGCGGCGACAAAGAGAAACGTGTTGAACCGGCGGCGCACCATGCTCAGTGTGCGGCGGCGGCGTGAATTTGAGGCGGCAGCGGCGCAGCGTGACAATGCACAGGTCTACCGCGTGACCCACAGCAGCTCCCGCGGGCGCCAACTACAAATTCGTTTTGCACCGTAAATTTGACTCTTAAACTTTGTTTTCTTCGTTTAAAATTTTTTATAACATTCTTTTTCCATCTAGGCTGTTTAAAAAAAAAATTATTTCTCCTTTGCACGTTTTTTAAAAAGTAACTGCAAAGAAAAAAAAGTTTTTTTTTTTTAAACAGCCTAATTTGAACAAGCATCTCAAAAAACAATTTTTCGGCGAGACAAAAAGTTTTTACAGCAATATTTATAGCGTGAGACTGATTTTAGTTTGCGGCTATTTCGTCCGTTTTAAATCGCACGCCACGAAAGTTTGTGTTCCGTGACGTTGAACCCCAATCGGCAGCTATACTTCTCATTGGCTAAGAGTTTGATTGACAGCTTAGATCTTGGTTGTTAAACCTTTGTTATATGTTGCAATTTTCTTTTGAGCAGCATATTTTTATGTTTAAAGAATAACCCATGTGATGAGAGTTATTATTTTTTACAAAAAGTTTACAAGATGGGCACTTCCGTTTGGATTCATACCCTAACAAACAAAAGCTCCGCCATGCTTTCATGGACGCCGTGGTCTCTGCTCCCGCCTGTCTCGCCTAACTCGACTAGTCATTTCGCCGAAGTGATCAGTGTGTCGTGTTGACCCAGGTACTTGAGTGAGATTTCCCGAAGTGAAGTAGTCTGTTTAGCAGCTGTCGCCAGTGTTAGTGATAGGAAGCGACGCGGAGTTTTGGCTTTTATAGCGCGGTTTGTTACTTTAGTTTTCGTCCTTGCTTTCCTAGAGTGCTTTTTTTTTTTTTTTTTGCTTGGACGTGCAAATGTTGACTTTTTGGAGATGTCAGCTCCTGTAATGTGGCGCCGTTGCACTGTAAAGTGCTGTAAGATGAGTGATCACGACAGCTAGTCTTCCAGTAGCCATGTCGCCCCAAAAGATCACAAGCTGAATGCTATTTGGCTGCAGGCAATCGGGCGTTCGCGTAGCGACAAACGAGTCCAGGTACGTTCTCGTCATTTCACTCCGGAGGCCTTCGAGATTCGCACCGGGTGCACCAAACGATCGCGACTGAGACGCAGCTGTTGCGTAAAAGACCTGGCACAGCCAGGTTATTACGTAACAGCTGTCCGCACAAGCCTTCGGACACCCAAATTCTGCTTTAGACGACAGATTTTTTTTTCTCAGCTTCCGAACCATTTTACGTAAAGTTGTTTGAATTGAACGTGATCTGTTATTGTAAACCTTGGCTCGTGATTACGCCTTTGTAGATCATCTTGTTTGTTTTGCTGGAGAGACGCACACGACGGGCATAACAAAATCGTTTGCATATTCCGCATACCTCGCAAAAGAACTTCCCCAATCATCTTGTGAAACACGGAGTCCGCAGCGTCCTTACTTCCCAGTCTTTTACCTGCTTTAGAGCAGTTTGTACCTGCTAGTAGGTATGCCTACTGAAACTGCAACTTGAAGCACTGCCAGGGAGGAAAGAGACAAAGTTCGGAAAGTTTGGTCGCCCTCCCCAATTTCTCGAGCCTCAAGTGATTGCACCATGATAAATGCACCAATGCCTCTTCCCAAAATAAAGGAAAAGCACTCTGTTCACTACATAAAAGATGGTCTGACGTTCATGCGTCTGCGGGCAGGTAGGAAATCTTTCCCAAATTTATTCACACCGCATGATAAGCGCTACAAAACTCGCACGAGATTTACAGGAAAATATTGGTGGTGACTTAAGTTTCCCTGAAATTCGGTATACACGAACTCAACACTCCTACGTCATGCCGCGGTGGTGGCGCGTCGGTCGCACTTCCGGTCTGGGGCGGTGGGCAGAAGTCGCCGCGCGAGACATGCATTCTTGTGTTCTTTTCGGAGAAACCAGACAAAAAAACCTGAGTTCTCATCACAATTCTGCGACGGGGACTGTACCAAACCAGTCTGGAAAGGTTTGAAGATCAGTTTTCATGTGTTTCTGCCCGCTCCGTTCGTCCGAGTACGTGGATAGCAGCCGTGAAAAGGGTAAACCAGACGCTGTCGAACTACAATTGGTTGTGCGAGCAACACTTTGTGGTCGGCAGATGTATTTGTTTTGTTCCAACATAAATGAGAGAAAACCGCCAAGTTGTCCGGGCCACCCGCGGGTTCAGTGCGTCTTCAAATTCACACGGCCGCATGATCGTTCGAACTTTCGTCTGCTCTTTCGAGCCTGCTTTTTGTCGTCTGCTCGTTCAAACAAAAGCGCCCCGTAGACCAAACTTTGACCCGGTGATTGCAATAAGAAGTAATTGCAGGCCTCAAAAGACTTACGTAGGCTCGGTGTAACGAGTAGATACAAGATGTTGATCATTGGTACCAGTGGCCATCACCGACTTGTTACGCTTGGTCTGTTCCCGCTTCCGAATTTCGGTATCGACGTCGATCATCGCCGCTACCTTTTACACTTTTGCAGCACGAGCGACGTCGCGACCGAAAATATCTAAAAGGATCTCATCATGGTTTTGGCGTCAATTCTGCGGCGGTCACGCGAATGAATTGCCGCACGTCAAATTATTTACGCAAAGTTTAGCGGTGTAACGAGCCTTCATAATTTCGCTCAGGCGATTAAAGTGGTAAGACATTGCTATGAGGACGTAGAATCGACAACTCCAACGCGAAAAATAGTATGCAGACTCACACAGACGCCGACAACGTGACATTCCAATGGTTTTTTGACGTGGTACGCGGTGCTTCTTGCCCGCACTCAATTGCGCAAGCGTTCGAACTGTCGTCTGCTCTTTCAAACTTGTCTGCTTTTTGTCGTCAGCTCGTTCAAACAACAGCGGCCCGTAAACCAAACGTTGACTCGGTAATTGCGATAAGAACTAAGTGCAGGCCTCAAAACACTCTTGAAGGTTGGGTGGGGCAAGTAGGTAGATGTAGTAGATGTAACATCTTCTTGCAACAGTAGATGCAAGAAGATGTTGATTATTGTTACCAGTGGCCATCACCGATTTGTAATGCCCGATTCTACTTGCGGTTTTCAGTATCGACGTCCACCATCTCAGCTACGGTCCACACTTTTGCAGCCGAGCGACGTCGCGACTGAAAATAGCGAGCAGAATCTCATCCTGCGAGTCAGGCTTTAGCGCCCATTCTGCGGCATCCACATGAAATGAATCGCCGCAAGTCAAACTTTGATCCGGCCGGGTCAAAGTTTGACTTGCACGCACGCAAAGTTTTGCCTTGTTAATTTTCCTGAAGCCGCTCAATTAGTCAGACATTGTTAGGAGGACGTAGAATCAACAATTCCAACGCAAAAAGAGCACGGGGACTCCCAGCGACGCCAAAAACAATGCAATTCAATGGTTTGTTTATGGGCGACGGCGGGCTTTTTGCCCACCGTCCACCGCGCATGCGCGGCGCCGGTGGCGTCTGCTAGGGGCGCTCAGGTTTGTTTGTAAACATGAGTTGGTGTATAACCGGTCGTTTGCAGGACCGAATTATCTACTCGACCGGTGTGTGTCGTCGTGCAAACATGTCGCTGTGCAAACGGAGTCTAACAACACGAAGCATAAAAACGGCAGATTTAGGACAACAATCCAGAGTCCATTGTTCAATTAAAACGAAATAATTTTGTTGAAAATGCCCTGCAGCTTTTTACTCATGGTATGCATAGGGAATCTTCCACATTTTGAAATGAAACGAAGGAAGATTTACTTTTAAAAACGCTCACTCTGTCTTCCCGGACCAGTTTGACTGGATCAGCTGACGACGACGGGACTGAACCCGTTGAACGTCAACCCCACAACCAATTTGCGCTCCGTGTTAGTGTGGGTTTCTACCTCCAAGCACCGCACCACACACCACGAACGTTTCAGTTCTTTGTCGCATCGCCGTGTTGCACCAAATAGAACAAGATCGCTGAAGTCAACGCCGCGCTGTTATGAACGGTTACTTGTGGTTGCACACTCGTGGACCCTGTGACTCCCTTCGCTTTCAAAGCACACACGACGATTACGAATGATACCGTATTTGCACGAATATAACGCAAGTTTTTTTCGAAATTACGTGCTCCAAAACGCACCTCGCGTTATATTCGGAATCGAGTTCAGCCACGAGGCGCGCGAGTCTGGAGAAAGCCAGAGGAGAAAGCCAACCCCTCTGGCTCAATGCAAACTATATGGTGGGAAAAGAAGTGGGGGTGAGGAAGAGAATTTATTAGCTATTGGGCCAGGTGAAGGGGCGATAAGAAAACATAAAAAAAGCATTTTTATCGCTTTTGCGTTTGTACAATGCGTGCATGCCGCAGAAACTCAGCGCGTGCGCGCGCCATGCAGGAATGCGGGCACTGGCCAATCCGAGCCAAGCCAAGCCAGGCCAAGTCAAGTCAACACAAGCCAAGCCAAGACCACCAACCGCGTTTACGCAATCGTGCAACACAAGGCATTTGTTTATGAAGAGGGACCAGAACAAGAAGTGTGATCGTGTATCGGGTTCAGCAGTCTTTTTTCTGCCTGCGCATTGTTTAGTTTCTGCTCCAGTGATCTGGTGTTTGTGTGTTGGTGCTTCAGCTTTGTGCCTTGTTTCGATTGTGGGCTGCCGCAGAGCTCGCACAGAAGAAAAAATTACACCATCTTCCCAAGGGGAACCATGGGGTGATGCGGAGCATCGCGGATCATTATTAACGATGTTATTAACGGTGTTAGTAACGTTGTTGAACTTCACGGTCCCGAACCTCAGGTTCTGCTGCTCGACGTTCACGAACCAACGCGGCTTCCCGTTCTCGAAGGTCGGGTTCCGCCGCTCGCTTCGTACATTTACGTTGAACTTCACGGTCCCGAACCTCAGGTTCTGCTGCTCGACGTTATCGAACCGCAGCTGCTTCACGTTGTCGTAGTTCAGCATCCGCCGCTCGACGTTGACGAATGGACGCCGCTTCTCGTTGCCGTAGTTCAGGGTCTGCCGCTCGCCTCAAGCGTTTGCGCTCAGCGTCGCGTGCCCTTCGCTGCGCAGCTTTGCCTTCAGTGGACGTAGCGTTGCTGTTAGTTTGTGGGGTGGTGCTGACGCTTGCTTGCGCCAACCCACTAACTGACGGGACTGTTGCTTCCATCACACTTATCGGAAGAACGGAGTGAAGTGGAGTCAACAGCGGTGAACTGAACGCGCGCAGCGCGCTACCGCTGCTTATATTCACACTTGAAGGAGAGGAGACTAGAGGAGGAGAGTTGCGCATGCGCGCGCGGTGTGAGTAGAAGCGAACGCACGCGAAGTGTACGCAGCTGGTAGAGAGAGAGAGCGGAGAGAGTAACGCAAGGCTGTTGCAGAGAGGGAAGGAGGAGAGTTGCGCATGCGTAGTGTGAGTGCGGACTACGACGCCGCGGGACATAGACCCGAGCAAGAGATGCTCCGCATCTAAAAGGAACTACCAGACAAGCAGGTGCCGTGCTGCTGCTTATCTGTGTAGTCGCCAAGTGGATTGTAAACGGAAGGACCTGAGCAGTGAGGATGAGTGTAGTCAAAACATAAAATGATATTTCTTCTATTTCCGTTGACTTTTCACATCTGCTATGCCCCCGAGTGCGAGAAATTGATGCGGCCTCGGTTCGCGTTATAGTAATAATATTTTTTTTTTCTTTTTGAGGGCATCAAAACTTGCCCTCGCGTTATATTCGTGGTCGCGTTATATTTGTGCAAATACGGTACTTTCCGTCTTCCAGGAACATCACACGGGCACTTCTCTGGTCACGTCTTCGCTACATGGGCTCGCAAACCACGGAGCTTCTCGCGTCCCGTCAAACCAAAACAATCCCGGCGCCATGTTGAACGTGTGTTGTTGCCAGATTTTCACTGACCAAACAAATAAAACGAAAGCAAACCGGCTCTAGCTTCCAGTGTACATGGACGGCACCCACCCCCCCCCCGATCCGCGGCCAGAAGTCAAGACGCGCGTACTCCGCAGCCAAGTCAATCCAAGAGAAAATCCAAAAGTGAGAGTTGGGGCGTACTTCTCCGTGTAGGTCGAAAGAGCGGGAGTTTCAAATGTGGAGAGGTTGTGACCCTGACTAAATTACGTCCTGCATGTGAATATTGCTAAAAAAAAAAAATTTTGTTTTCGTCGAAGATTTGTTTGGTGACATGCTTGTCCCAATTAGGCTGTTTAAAAAAACACTTTTTTTTTCTTTGCAGTTACCCTTTACACAACCCAGAAAAAAAGTTTCTGCAAAATAAGTTTACTTTGAAAACCATAGAAAACCAACATCTGGAGAGTATTCATAGAAAGTTTCACTGGTTTACATAGCATAGTTATTTTTTTATAGAATTTTTCGTGTCACCGAAGCTAAAGAAAAGGTGAAGTGCACAATAGATGGACCGATCACAAGGCATCCAGACCTATCCAGATATTGGCCCACAGAAGCCTCTTCGTTTGCCATCGCAGCAAAGAACGTAAGATCCTGTGCCACTGCAGACGCTGCTGGAGCACCCCCTGCTCCGACGGGTTGAACTTGTGTCCGGCAGTGCAGTAGTTGGTTGCTTTCGAATGAAGAACGGCCCCATACGAACGCCGAAGACCTAAACTGCCCGGACCACGCATGACAATACAGAGAAAAGTAATTGGGACTCCAGCATGATCTTGACACTCGATCAAACGACGTGCGACGGTGAATCGAGCGAAAAGAAGCAGCAGGGAGTGAGGCTGGTGGTGCTGTTCCAGTGGCTATTCCGGAGTAACTCTCACATCAAGTGCCGCCACCCCCAGGAGTCGGGCACGCCGTGCTGTGTGCCGTTAACCCAACGAGCGTTCACCTTGGTTCACCACCGCACATTCAGGCTAATTTGCGAATTGCTATTATGTAAAAATACTTGTTTGCGCAAACTGAAGAAAAAAAGAACTTGTAAAATGAGTGCAGAGATTGGCGTGATGCTACAGGTACTGCCGGCTGAACTCGTAACAAGCCAAGGTGTTCTCGATATCGCGACTGTTTCGTTTTGGTCGGCGGCGTTTTGGTCGGGGGTTTTGGTTTGATTATAAGTTGACTCCCCAACACTCCAGGTTTTCAAAAATTGAAAAAATGGGTCGACCTACATTCGTGAAAATACGGTAGTGAGCGACCCCCAATGCACCGTGAAAGCGGAGAAAGCGGCAAGTTGTCGTCTTCAACAAGAAAGAGCAGACTGGGAGTCAATCGTCGTGGGGCGATTTTATGGGTTCATATAGGGCAGTATTCGCTTTAAAATTTCAGAACAAAAGTTATATATTTTAGCTTTGAAAGAGCCACACCCAGTCGGCCTCTTCGACGAGTTTTCCTTCGTCGAGTTGCCCTATGACGAATTGGCCTATTTGAGGAATGGGACGCCGGTAAGTTGGCCGACGACGAATGGGCCGTCGACGAGTTGGCCTAGACCCCTTTGTGCACCGGCGATCTTGACGGCCACGGGCGGCTATGCTGCCGTACGGCAGAGGCCAGCACGTCACATGGTACAAACCTTGAGGAAAGTCTGAAGCATAAAGTTCTTCCGGTCCCACGGACCAAAGGTGGTCTACCGACCACACTCCTGGTTGGGAGTGTCGTCACACCGCAGGATGAAAAAGGAGAGGGACAAAGAAAGGGGACTCACCCTCCTCAGCCGCCTCGGTGAGGATGAGGGTCTCTGGCTTGGAAGCAAAGTCCAGTTCCCGCGCCACGTGGCAAGCTGTTAGAGGCGCGTCTCCGGTGATCATGCAAACCTGGGAACGACACAATGTCAGGCTAACGACTAAAATTAAACCGATGCAGTACAGTACCACATTATTCAAAGTTGGTTCAGAAAAAAAGAGAATGTGGAACTCGGCACTTCCAGTGTAGTGTCAGTTTTTGGTTTCAAATGTTGTTGCGCTGCTTCAATGCAGTATCTACCCATGTAATATGCATGTTGTTGAGAACCTACATTCGCAATTGCATTTATTAATGCAGCTTAGTACCAAACACTTAATTTTGCCATCAAAGGTCTTGACTCACAGGTACAGTATAGACCACTTACAACGTAACCGCTTATAGTGAAGGACCGGGTATAACACGGCTTTTTTAAACCACCGGATCGCCTCCCATAGAACTCCATGTAATTACATACCGCTTAAAATGCAGGCGCGCGAAGGGAAATACCGGTTATAGTGCGGTTTCCGGAACAACCGGGGCAGTGAGCACGCTTCCCTGTGTGACACTAGATAACGGCGCGAGCCGCAAGCGGCACTCGCGGGGCAAGGAGGTTGCTCGAAGAAGCAGGGAGAAGCGAAGAGAGAGGCTTCAATTGCCATAGCGACGGAGGGACGCACGCACGTGTCGTTCAAAACAACCGCAACGACAGACCAATCGCAGGTCGAGGAGAAGTATTCGCGCACGTTGCAAGCCGGTCGCGGGCCGGCTGCTTCTATCCGCAAACATGGCGTCGGTTGTGATTGTCGACGTAGACGGCGTTCTAGTTCACTTTAAAGAAGTGGTGGGTGCTCAACGTTCCACGTAAAAGCGCTATCCTTGACTGAATTTTCGTTGTGTGTCACAATAACCCAGCACGTACTAGAAGAGAAGATCCACCTACTCGTGCGGCGATGTTGTGGCGGCACTCTCAAAACGGCAGAAACGCCCGTGTCGTCGTGTTTGTTTACTTCGACTACAGTGGTGCTTTCTAAGCATTTGTGTTTTCGAACATCGCCCGGATTTCTTATTTGGAGCATTTCATGCCTGTGCTCAAGTTGAAGGTATACTGGCGCGTACCGTATAAAGGATGCAAAGTTTCATGCGTTTTTATCGGCGGAGAAAAGTGATTAGGGTTAGCAATCCTGAACGCTCGCAACGTCCGTCCGCAACCCGCGACGCCGTTAAAAGGTTGTGCCAGGCAAAAGTCGCTCATTTCTTTCAAAATGTGTAACACACTTGAGAGAGAAGTGTACTAGTCTGGTTGAATAAAGACTTTCCTCAAACTAAGCTTTATTTTTCATCTAACATAAAATAAATTGTTTTACAAAGGTAAGTTGTCTCATGGCATGTATTTTGGCCTGAAAAATTGATGTTTTGGTTATAGCGCGGTACCGCTTATAGTGTGGATTTTCGCGACTCCCGCGACATACGTTATATGCAATCTACACAGGTGACATAGTGTTAGTGGTATTGATGGCAGTGTTTAAATTCTGCGGGTAAACTAGAAAAAACGAGAAATTGCAGCTGTAAGTGTTGTGCATTGTACCAACCTACATGCTTAAGCTTCAAACTAATAAAAATAGTATTACCCTCAAAATTCAAAATCATCTTCACTACATTCCAAAAACTTAGCGCAAAAGTGACAGGTCAGCTTGGGCAGGTGCAAAAGTGCAGAAAGGATGAAGACACACCAAAAAACAAATGAAAGAAGTTTACAATTCCCTGTAATCTCGAAGTAGAGCGCAGCTCTTGAGGAGGAGAAGGGGAGGATACGAAGAGGAAGGTATGTCCCTCCTCCTCTTCAGTACCCTCTCCTTGTCGTCCTCCTCCTCCTACCTTGTGATGTCACCCGTGAAGGTCGTGACCTTCATCTTGACCTTCACAAGTGTCCTTCGTGACGTCACTCGCGAACCTAGTCACCCTCGTGACCCTCGTGACACCACACGTGACATCACGTGTAACGTCATAATAGGAAACGTTCCATAATGCAACGCGCTGAAAATACAATGGCGACGGCAACGCCGCTCAAGCCTAACTGGGCACCTAAAAGCTGCGCTCTAAAATGATGAGTCATTCCACTCTGTGAAGGTAGATGACAAGCGAAGCTGTTTCGCACACGACGCAAATTTCCCGCTAAAGTTGGCAGAAAAATTTCTCCGCCAGATTTAGCGGAAAAATTTCCCCGCTAAATATAACGGAGAAATTGACGTCACGTGACACAAAGTCGTGATTTCATTTCTGTCACAGCTTCGTGATGTCACGTGACGTCAATTTTCACGCTAAATTTAGCGGGGAAACTGTATTGGTGTTGAGGACACGTGACGTCAATTTCCCCGCTAAATTTAGCAGGAAAAGTTCCCCACCAAATTTATTGAAAAAATGGCCCAACTAAAGCTAGCAGGGAAATTGACATCACGTGGCACGAAGTTGTGACGTCACATGACATCACAAAACCATGACGTCACATGACGTCACGAAGCCGTAACATAATTTCTGTTGCTGCGCACGAAAAATCCACAAAACCCTAGCCATAAACAGCTTCCCTGTAAAAATAAACGGCTTATCAAGCCGTTCCCTACTTACTGCTCTGTGTTACTTTTAACCTCAGCAGGTCTCCAAGGAGTTGATGACAACATTTTTAATCTCATTTTCAGAAATAATCCCAAAATGAACTGTTGGGCCAGTTGGGAAAGCATATCCCATAGACAAACAGTGCCACAGACAAGTACAAGCAGAAATGAACCCCCCCCCCCCCCCCCCCGAAGCACTACCATATTCACTTCTTCTACTTGTCCTTCTCTGTTGTGCCATTAGGGTTTACGGTTATTAACGACGCCAGCATTATTTCAATGAAATTGTTTCACGGTGACTACGTTATGTCCTGACAGAGCGACTTCAGTCATTTCTGAAACCGAGCGGAGTCGCCCGCAACGTTCCCAGAGCTCAGGAGGCTGCAATGCGCAAAAGGACCACTCACGTGATGGCTGGACGACTGTATCTCCTGGATGACAGAGAGGGAGTCGCTCTTGAGTGGGCAAGAGATCACCAGGAACCCCATGAAGTCCAGGTTCTGCTCCACGCTCTCCCGCGTCAGGTCCCTCACCTGAGAAAAGGGAACGTCCCGGGGACACTGACACTTGGGTACCTACTCGACCACGAAGTGCAGATCAGAGGAAAAATACCCTAGATATTTTTCGTCCTTTCACAACTCTACATGGCAAATACAACTTGGACTCCAGAGTTTCACCCAATTCTCGATTTCTCGAGAAAGAGGTGAAACTTACCTCTTCCTTGTGTGGGTTACATGCTTAATTTCTAGCAAAACGTCAGCGGGAAACCTTTCTCGCATAAAATATTTTAGCACAATATTCACACCGTGAGACTCATTTGAGCTATTCCAAAACATGCTTGTTTCAGATTAGGAGTCCCACAGCGTATATAGACCTTTCCAGCGGCAGTCTCGAACGAAGCGATTTACAGCGCGCGTCCCTGGTTTTGAGAGGGTATGTCAGTGTCACCTGACTCCTCTGGGCTGTGGAGTTTCTCGTCAGTGGGCTGTGGCAGCCAGCGTAGGCACACTTCCGGACGCTGGTGGAGGCTAAATTTCCGCGTTCTATTTTTTTTATTTTGTGTTCTATTGCTAACAGAATTTCTTTGGGTTTTTAAGAATGCATTGTACTATTTTTGTAACAAAAACAAGGAAATGAAAGCTGTTTTGGTGAGTCCATGCGCGACAGAATAAATGCGGTTGGAATGTTTGTTTTATATTATGCTGATCTTTTTAGGGGCGCCATACACTCAGCCGTGTCAATCTACAAAGGTCTTAATCGTCGATAATATTTGACCACACAGGATATCCAAACTGCATAGATATTCTCCGCCTACAGCATGAAATTCAACGAGTCTCATAAATCGAACAACATATATTGTACGTACCCCACAGTGCCGCGCTATCTGAACAGAATTCGAGAAAGGTCTCAAATAACAGCATATCCAATATACAGTGTCGACGATAGTCACTTCACGACGATTGGTCAGAATCCGGCGTGTTTTGGGGCACAAGTAGAAGAGACTTGCTTTTTTGCACAGCTTGAAAGCAAATGAACGAACGTGCCTATTCCGTCCCCACACCTCAGACCCGACCATATCAGCAATTTTTCATGAAGACCCGGAACATAGCCGGGAAGGCTTTTTGGAGATTATCGCAATGGAAATAATTCTCTAAGAACGTCGAACTGCCCGCATCGTGGGTTCCTTGATGTTTGCTCTCTTCGTTCGTTTCCTACGAAGGCCAAGCAGGCTACGAGCCCTCACAGTGGAAGATAACACACAAAGGGTAAGCATCCTAAACAGGCAAATAAAGTAAAAACTTTAAAGAAAAGCCGGCAAACTCCGAATGCACAATGCAGGTGGGGAGTCACGCTGACCGGGTTTCCACAGCTCAGGCGGGTGGCAGAAATTTCCGGCTGATAGGGGTCGCTCTATTCGCAAAATGGCGGCGGCCAAAGAGCTCTTTTTGCAAAGGTGTATATTGCACTAAAAACTTTTTTCTTCCAAGGAAAGTTTAGTTTGCAACATTTAGTCCCAAACCGATTTTCTGAACGCCAAAAATTCGGACGTGCCCAATTATTTTCACAATTTCATGGAACCGCCCCTCACCCCATAGAGTTAACCTGTGAGCAGCGACTAAAAATCCGAACAATGTACTCCTCGCTGCTCTATTCTAGTAGCCGTTATATTGCCACCGCGAACCAAGCCATTGCCAGTTGTTTTGTTTCGGCACAGCCTGTAGCCTTGACAGCCCGTTCTACACATTCTACGCCAGGGAGCGCTGTCTATGCAACCCAGAAGCCGAGTCGAGGCTGTAATCGGAATCGTTACCTCTTTGTCGCACCTCCGAGGTTGAACCAATCGGCGCTTTTGTTTTGTGCCGTACACGGAGGGATCGGGGTTGTCTAAACGTCCGGTAACCGCTTCACTGTCCACCACTGTTCTTTGTTTACAGTATCATTTATGAACTACTTGACTGACGCTCTCGTGACATTCGAGAAGTTCAAAGACAGGGAAAGTGAACTCTGTGCCAGCTCTCGTGTGGCCCAGACCGCCAAAATGCCAAACCATTTGACTGCGAAGAGGCGAAATACCGTCCAGCAAACTATCGACCAGTCTCTCCAGCCGTTTATAAATGAAGTGCCATTGCAAAGATTTTATAAATGAATTAATCTTTTCGGACTGCTCGATTATTCTGACTTTTCCGCAATCTGGATTGAACTCGAATAATCAATCAGCAACTGCACTTTACCTATCCCTGCACCTAAAAAAAAAAAAAAAAAAATTCTGAAATTTTAGCATTGTTTTGAAGCATAACTAGGAGCTAAGCACACCCTGGTATGTGCATTACTGTTTACAAGGTCCGTAGTCTCCTGCACTGCTTCACCGCACCACAGCCAAAACTGGGAGGCCGCCATTAGAGAGTTCCTCGAGATGAAAACACCTGAGAAACCCTGTTCTACAAGGTTCAAGCAGGACTGTGAGCGGAGGGAGATCTAATACTTCAGTGCCCTAAAAATTTCTCTGTCCTTCGCAAAAAAAACCTCATATGCCATTCGTATTTGGGTATTCCCAGATCCGCTCAACAGAACCCCACACTTCAGTCAACACCTCTTAGGTAAGAAAGCCCAAGTGCCGAGTCACTCTGTGTCGCTCGAAGAGGCAACCGCAGGGCGCAGATGGGGCACGGGCACTGAGCCGGCATTCGGTTACAACTCGCCCAATCACCGATTGGCCACAGGTTGTAGCCGAACGCCGATGCAGTGCTAGTACTCGATCTGTGCCCCGCGGTGGCCCCTTGGAGTGACGCAGCCAGATTCAGCACTTGGGCTTTCTTATCTAGGTGCTGCTTCATTTTATAGTTCACTTTCCCTTTTGAAGGCTAACGCTACAGAAGAAACAAACAAGCCTTCGCTCTCTCTCGCGAAAGGATAGACTGCGAGCACTCGGCGGAACCTCGAATACTGCTGCATCCCAAAATTTAGTTTCATTTGTGGACCACTTTATGGACTACGTTACAGACAACGAGCAGCACGGCCGTTCTGGTTGGAGGCCGTGCTGAACGTTTAGGTGTCCTTTGACGAACGCGAGTTTACGGACGTGGACACGCCAGACGGGAGAGGGTTGCACGAACGTGCAGAAAGCGCTTGCCTGTTGGTGACTCAGCTGTCCCAGCACACTGCGTCCCATGGCAAGCACCCGGGCTCCTCTCCGTGACATGCGCAGGTAGACGTCATCATAGTCTTCCGGAATGTGAGAGAACTGCGAGGGAATTCGGGCAATGGAAAAAAGGTTCAGCTGTCTTTCTTTCTATTCGCCTCTAAACCTGACAAAACATGGCTTTTGTTTTTCTTTTAATATAAAACGTTGTTGGTCAGCAACATATGCAGTAGAATCATCCCCACTATTTGACCTAAAATTACTCCACCAAATTCGCCACTCGATTTGAGAGCCCTAAAATCCCCCGTTTTGTATGTGCCTAGAATTCATTTTACTTATTTATTTTATTTATGAAAGTCATAATACAGCTTCTTCCTAACGGGAATGAACAGCATTGACGCCCTAATAAAGCAATGGAGACCGCGCACTGTACAGCGTGCGGCCTCCATTCGTAGCATCCACTCTTAAAAATATACGCATGTCTCGATCACATCTGATAAACTCAAAGATGGACAGAATCTGTTATGAATGAGCTGGGCACATGCTGTATGTCTGTGTGTGACGTCATAATGTAATGTGATGTCACATAACATCATGATGTCACCTGACATCCTGACATGGTTACCTCCGTCTCTCTTAGACACGCATAACTTCAAAACTTTAGTGTCTGCAGCCAAGCTATGACTCCAGACACCAAAAGGTAATTGTCAATAGAAAGTATTGAGTTACTGAAATTGTGGCCGATTATTTATTGTTATCTATCCAAAAGATAGTGCCAGCCTCTTTTGAGGGCTAAAGCATGATAGATGCGAAGACAAGCATGAAAGCCCAAATTTGTGACAGAAAGAAAATACATCCATTCGTGTAAACAAAAATTAAAATAAAATTCCAAGTTATTTGCAACAGAAAACAATAAAGGAGGTTTCCCCCTCTCCTTTCCAGCGTTCCGTCTGCTTGTTCCTCCCGGTCTTCCTTCCCCTCGCCGTACGGAGCACAAAAAAAAAAAAAAACGTAGGAACTCGGCTACTGGGACAACTAGACCTACGCCAGGTGCAAACGTAAGCTGAAGTAGATGGGTCGGTGAAGTTGCTTACAATCAACAAATAACAAACAAAATGCCCAATTTAATCTTAATGCCATGGAAAAAGTCGGTATACACAGAATGCGTTTCCGCGGCATTCTTCAGGGTTCATAGTGGACATTGCAGCTTCTTTTTTTTTCTTTATTTGGTTATAATGTGTCGTTTTTTTCCGAACTCTCTCTCTTTTTATCCGATGGTGGTAGCATCTTCGATTTTGTGTTTGTTCCCGTAAAAAGTATGAATGCAAATGCCGTAACGCCGACATCCAACGATTGGCATTTGTGTTCGATTGAGACAGTTAATAAAGACCACCCTGGTAGAAAAAGCAAACCAGCTCTGTGTCTACTCACTAACTGGTGCAGTGGTGGAATGCTGAGCTCACAATGACGGACCAATGGGCTCAAATCTCGTTGCAGCGCTTTTAGAATTTCGTTCGTTCTGATCAATTTACTAGACCTGTCTGAACATAGAGGATATTGAGTGGAAGCGAATTCAAAGCGAATAGTGGTTTTGGCCAAATATTTTTTAATCCAATGTCGAATAATTTCTGTGAGCCTTTCACTACTGCTGCACCACGCTTAAAGGGACAATGAAGACGATTTTATTTAATTTTTTTAAATGATGTTTTTATGCTTCTTGTGAACATAGCATGCTGCCCAATTTTTTGCAGACATTTGTGACGCGTATTTCAGTGCCTACGAAAGCAGCAAAGAACCGAAACTAAACAATATCCATTCTCGTTTCTGGGCCTCCGAAAACGGAGGTGATGTAGGGAGTGACGTCAAGTGTGAATAGTCGGTATCGGTAGTATTTAGGAGATCGAGACTCTGGTTACCGCGGTGGGTTATAGCAGCGCGGTGGCGCGGTCGTTTCGTCGAATATGTCAACATGGACGGCAATGCCACTCTCCCGAGCGAGTTCGAGCTTCCGTTCAGTCACTGAACTTCAGTGACAAACACAAAACGGAACGGGAGTATGTTTGTGGCAGCCTCCGCCATCACCCGACGCAGACCGCTCACCCGGTAACAAGCGGCCCGGCCGGCATGCCGAAGTGCCCATAGTTGCTCGTTGGCCGTTTCGCGTCCAGTGTAGCAAAGAAAATAAACAATTATGCTGCTTTATTTACGGTTTAGTAATCATTTACGGTCCGATTAATACTTTTCATGGTTATTCAAGCGGAAATTAGAACAGTATTTCTAAAAATCGAGAACCAAAATGTGACCGAGGGCACGTCCCACGTTTTGACCAATCAATGACGCGTCTCTTGTGACGTCACGCTTCTTGGCCCCGCATTGGTCACGTAAGCTCCGCTTCTCCCGCAACTCACGGGGCGTCGCCCCAGTCGATCCCGGTATGATTATTACTGCGGCTGTTTAATTGATTTCCGCGGCACACAAGCGCCGATTTCGGCTGAAATTTGGGCAACGTGGCCTGAGACGTGCCTGGAACACAGTTCAATCGCCAAAAAGATGTCCGAAATTGCCTTCATTGTCCCTTTAAATGAAAACACAGCTGAAACCGTGAAGGTTGTTCCCAAGCTTCAACTTGTCCATTTTAAAGCCAAGTTAATTTAGGGGTCTGCAAATATAGAAACTTTCGAACACAAATTAAATATGAATAAGGCAAAAAAAACTGACTGAATATTCAATCGAATATAGAATATATGTCTAGAAATAAAAAATTGCAAAACAAGAGGTAACAGTAGGTTTTATTACCCTTTTAAAATAACTCAATGAAACTGCATTTTACTGGGCTGCAGCACAGTAACAACATTCACAAAGTTTGAATTTCTTTTGAAGTACACCGGGCACGCACCTGCGCCATCCCATTCTGAAATTGTGCTTTTCTCCTATGCTCTTGACTTAGATGTCAGTACTTTCCGAAATGTTGATTGCGGCAGGATAGCCAAGTTGGGCGCGCTTTCAACCGAGCACCAGTGCACTGCGGAGAAGCAACACCCATGGAGCTCACTTCCGCAACTGTTACTTCTCCGCAGCGCACCCATGCTCGGCAACAAGCACGCTCAATGGGGCTAACCCGCCGCGATCAATGCTTCGAAAAAGTCTAATGCCAAGGTTCATTTCAGAGCGAACATCGAATAGCCTACATTATGAAAACAATATTCGAAAATTAGAATATTTCCCCTACCCTACAATTTATTGCTCTTTTGTACAGAGAGTCCTCCGAAGTAAGTGCTATACGTTCGGCAACGGTTTCCGTGGTATTCCGTCTCACTTTCCTCGAGAATCCCACCCCCACATTTTGTGTAAAACAGTGAAACCCTCAAAGTATTTTTTTCCTGCCTACGCCAAGTAACTTGACTCACATAATTCATAAGATAACGGTCAAACCTAAACCAATTTTGTTGTCGACGCGGAAATGTTTCGAGCGCTTTACTTTCCTTTGACGCGGTAACTCATCGTCGACGTTCCAAATCGTACGCGAGTAGATCCTAGTCACTCTCGCGGGTCGTATAATGCGACAACACAGATGAAGCGACACCGGACCTGGGTACGTCTTCAAATGTCGGGGTAGAAAATTTTTACTACGGAGCGAGGGAGGGTGTTGATTGAAGTAACTAAACTACTCTCAGACACCGGGTTTCCGGCATACGAGTCACACTTTTTTTGCTAAATTTCTGTGAAAGCATATTGTATCGTGGTGAGACTTATATGCATCTTCTTTTAGGAATGTGGACCCTATCTGCGCAAGGTGTGGGCCGTAGTCAAATTTACGACAGAGGAGGAACGGCCGGCGGCCGCAACGACTCCGTGCAAAGTCTTTTGCAGGCGCTCCATAACTACATGTGCAGCTTATACAAACATCTTTGTCAAATGACCATTTATGGGGCCGCGACTCATTCAACGAGGATACTTATAGAGCCGAGGATACGGTAGTTTCATGGGAGCTCCGGTCCCCACCATGTGCTTGAGTGTCTCCGGGGCGCCCTTGACGGCGGCAAAGTAGGTGGTCTCCATGGCCCCCTGGGGCGCAAAGCCCGCCACCACCGACATGCGCTTGAGGGCGCTGCTGAAGTGGAAGCGGCTGAAGATCTTGATGCCCGGCACCTTGCCCTTCTTTGGAACCACCGCGTCACCTTCCCGGGGAAAAAAAAAAGGATGGACGCCGTTCGAGTTCAGGCTCGGTCTGTGGGGATACGATGGCTGGAACGCGTCTCCGACGGGCATGCTTCGCGTCCTCCACCTTTCGTGCATCAAAGGTAGTCCCAAAGTGGCGACAAATTACGGCAAAGACTATGATCCGTGGAGGTAGGAACCTTCTAGAGGTGACATGACATCACCGGAGGTGAAACCGTAAGTGTGGAGGGACACGCACCCAATGACATCCAAAACCAAGAGACACCATTGGACGAAAAAAAAAGCAGACTTTTCGTCACCCTCAGGGCCTTGGGGTGACCTAACAGCCGTTGGCGCCGAGTCGTCTCTCTTTTTCGTTCAATAGCTTCTTTCGATTTTAGCCATCGTTGGAAATGTGTCCCTCCACACTCCCCATCTTCACCTCTGGTGGCATCCTGTCGCCTCCAGAAGCTTTCTACCTCCACGCTACAACCGAACGGGGACTGTTGCCGTCGTCAGAGCGCCGATCCGACTCGTGGCTGCTACAGCTTTTGCAGACCGTAAAGCCGAAGAGCAACGTACGGCGGAACGACTCCCCGCCGTACGTCCGCTTCCGCCGCTGTACCATTGCCAGGATTGCATCGAGCGACAGTGCCACGCTTCTACGACGTTGTCGGGTGAAAATCGAAGGACCACGAATGGGGAGGCGATAAACACGCTGGTCAAAGATCTGTCCCATGCACAGTAGCAAAAGAGGAATATATTCTAAAGGCGCCCTAAATGCCCAGCATTTATAGGTGTCACGACGTCACCCGACATTACGGTGTCAAGTGATGCCAGGTCATGTCATCTCCTGACACCGGGACGGTTCGGTGTCACGCGACGCCACAACGTCGTGCGATGTGCCATCGCAATGCGACATTATAGTGTTGCCCAATGTCACGGTATCGCGACGTCGCAATGTCGCATTAAAAAACGACGAACCGAAGGTTTCCTCTTTTAGGACTCGTCGCCATTCTGGAACCGCAGTCAGACACCAACCCTCCCAGACGCCGCGACAGCCCGAAAGCCCGAGAGCCGGCCCTGCAAATGCCGCGCGTCTGAAACTGCGCCGAGGCGGCTCACCTTTGGTGAGGTTCCAGTCGATGGAGGTGAGTGTGGCCTTCTCGAGGGGGTCGCCCACAATGCCGTCGTCCAGCTGCGCCAGAGAGTGGCACGACGCCAGCACCTGGACGCTCTCCGGGGGGGCGTCCGAGACGGGGCAGATCTCGGGCCGGCCTCTGCGAAGCGGCATGGTTCGCGCCGCGACTCTTAGAGCGCTATTTTGTTTTGCGAAACAAACGACGTCCGTCGCGGCGCAACGGGGCAAAGCGTCAGTCAGTGCAAAGACGTTGTACGGCGACGACCGTCGCAGAGACTTTCTAGATGCATTCGCGGCGTCGGAGCGGTGCCAGGCAGACCGCTCCGTCTCACGTGCGGTCACATCGGGACTGCCCCATGACCTAAAGCTTGTCTTGCACGTAAAGCAACCCACCATTCCTAATGGTACCCATCTCAATTTAATATCAGGACGTCGACTTGTGTGTGCAGTGCGTTCTCTTTCCCAGATACATCTGCGACCACAAAGCTGCACTGTGTGCGGTCGAGTAAACGGAGCGTGTATATGCGTAAAAATGGGCGTTAATATGCGCAACGACAACTATATTTCCGTCATTTCTCGCCCATTGTGGCGAAAAGCTGGGGATTTTTTTATTGCAACCTCATTGAGAAACGGACCTAGTATTTGTGGGTAAGCACCAACACATACCGTGCCATTGGCAGCCAACAAAACCCTGAGTCTATATTATTGTGCTTGCTCTAGATAGTTTCTGTACAGTATAGTTTCTGTACAGTTGATGTAGCGTGCAGTGGCCAGGAACTGCAAGAATGTTACGAGTCTGTTGTAGCGAATACAGTAAAACCTCATTGATATGTTGCTCTGAGGACTGTGGGAAAAAAACATATAATCCGGGAAAACGTAAAAAAACAAGAATGCCGCAAAAGCTGGGAGCTCAGCGGGACCGGCAGTTTTCAACATAAAAGCCGGGAAAACGTAAAAACCGGGAATGTCTCAATGAGGCACTATTCTATTTCAGTGCAGCCGTGGACAGTAATGACTCGAGGGTTTGTTCACGGTAAAGAGATAGCAGTCCTACGCAAGTGCCACATTTACTTAATTCGCAGTTGTCAAGTAAGTGTCATCCTAAAATTAGCGCTTCTAATATAACATTTTCCCACTGAAAATATTTGCTTTTAGAAGAGGTTTTATAAATTGACTGAAGTATAATAATGACACTATACACCTTATTGTATAAGCAGAAGTTTTGCTCTAATATATGACAAGAGAGAGCACAACCCTAATAGTTCATAGGTGCACCAACACAAGTGCATGCTAGAAAGAAATAATATTTGTGAGATGTATCGCTTTACCTGGAGAGTAAAGCGTGAGACACATGGACGGCAGAATCGTCCGGTCTGACATCCGAACCGACAGTCCGAACGCCGCTCCGAATTGCCGCACGCGATAGTTTGAGACACATGCTTCCGACCTTGCATGCAACATTACGATCCGTTCGGCTCCGCCCAGGAGATCCAGGCACTCCAGCGGAGGTCCACGTTCATAGATCTCATGGTCCCAGATTGAGCGAAGTTAGGAGCTCGTTCTCACTAGCGCGTGCATTCTTTGCCAAGGCCATCTTTTTCGAATGGGTCCAGTGGGATCCACGCGTTTGGCTTCCCGTCGCCCGTCCCGTTTTCTTATTCGTCCCACCAGACCCAGTACGTCATCATGACGTTCGCGCTAGCTGAGCTGTCATTGGCTGGACGCTTCCGACAGTCCGTCCGCCGTGCGAAACTATCTGGCGGATGCACGCCGGATCGCCGATCCGACGTCTGAAGCAACCAAGTTTTTCGGATCAGGCAGTCGTATTGCCGGATTGGACGTCGGATCGGATGGATTTTTCGCGCATGTGTCTCGTGCTTAAGCGACAATCACAACTTTTGGTTGAAGTAAGCAAATTACGGAATTCTCACTGTCTGCAATGCATTCACCTTACAAGTGTCACTTCTCCGCAGTGCAGCCATGCTGTGCAAGAAATGTAATCAATGAAGCAAGGTCACTGCTAAACAAATACTAGATGTTGCACTTCAAAATATAGCGAAAAGCGGGAGTAAAGGCGCGAACATGCCAAGTAAAGATGGAAGCGGTCAGCGAGCCTTGAAAAAGGGGGTGGTGGAGGGGGAAGGGAGTGCACTCCTATACATCATATGGTCTAAACGACCGCACACCGCCTATGCCTTGAACAAACACAGCACATCGTAACATGGAAGGCATCCCTGTGCACTTCATTGCAGACATCCCAGCTGCGACATAACAGGCTGTCGGATTTTTGAGGAAAGAGTGAACCTTAGCTTGGATAAACATGGTATTTAGCACCAGTTCCCTTAGAAAATTGCAAAGCTTGTTCCATGACCAAAGTCAAGCAGAGAACTTACTTCTGACAAATACGTTTGTGGAACCGCGCTTGAGTGCTTGTCGCCACAGGCGGCGTCGCCTCCTCGACACGGTTAACGAAAGGGAACACCTTTTGAACTCTTCACTATAGCTGCTGCTCCACTTTGAAAATATCAGAGCTTCCTTTCTAATTTTCTTTGCACTCGGAGTTGAGACTTCATATTTTAAGACGCAAATCGGAGCAGTACAAGATGTCTTCGAGAGAAGGTACCGTTCGATACGTTGAGTCACTGCTCTACGAGTCGGGTCGCTGGTCTTTGAGGGAGATTTTAGTGTGCTAGTCTTTCATGAAAACACGCAGTGTATAGCATATCCACCAGTCCTTATCACGGCAGAGAAAAGCCCGAGTTCTCGTTCGTAAAGAACCGCTGGATTTCTCAAAGTTGTAGAAAAGGCAAGACAGACATTGCTACGACTAAGAGACGAGTCCGGCGTTCGGTGCCCGCATGCCAGACTCTGACGCCACCGTTCTGTCTGCGCGAAGAGCAGACGACGGTCTCGTTTGCTCCGACTGGAGGGAGGCAGCGGGTAGAGATGAAGGCAGCTCGCCTTTGCGTCCACCCACTACCCTTCCAATCGGAGCTCGGCGCTGCGAAGTCACCCTGCGCAAGAAGCGGACAAACTCATGCGTCCAATGGGCCACTCACTTGAGCCCGGCAATGCCCTCGACGACCAGACTGTCGCTGGTCAGGGTGCCCGTCTTGTCGAAGCAGCAGATCTCCACCTTGCCCGCAAACGGGATCCGGAACGGCTCCGTGCAGAACACGTCTGGGAGTACGGACAACGCGAGGGAGTGTAAGACATCGCCGTCACCGAGAGAACGGGAATGACGAGGCATTTCGTTCGGGTGCCCAGCCTCCAGCGTGCGCTCGTTGCCTTCCACCGTGCTATGGCTGCGTGTGCACACTCGAGGCTCATAAAACGCCGAAGTGTTATAGAAAACAAAAAATGTATGACAAATTTCTACGCAATTGTGTTGCATGCGTGAAATGTTCCAACATAGCAAACGTTTAGCGATACTCCGAGTTTCTGAATGCCTACATTCGTGGCGTTCTTTGTCAGATAATTTAGAAGGACATGCACCAGGGGGTCTTTTTATTATTATCCACGATATCGAAATATTTTTACAGTTTATAGTGCTTCATCGTCTCTTTGTAAATCTAGTGCTAGATTCGATATTAGCCCCGAGAAGTTCCCGTGGCGCCCCCTTACGGCGAACCGAAGTGACGTCACGGCGAGGAGAGAATTTTTCCCCGACTCGGCCCGCTCGCCCTGTGGAGGCTGTGACGACGCTAGCTGACGGCGCGCTCGTTTCTATTTCATTTTTTTGGCGTGTTTTTCGTAGGAAGTGTAAATTTTTATATTAACCTTTGTTGAGGTATGGCCTGTAGCTACAGGCGAAACTTCAACCAACACTTTAAGCATGGTTGACAGGGCAGGCAACGCATGAATCGCAGCTGGTATATGAAAATAAAGAAATATGGCCACAATTGCAGGAGCATCACTATAGAATTACATATCGCACAATAAATGCTGCTGATGGTCTGAATGAATTGGCAGGTTATTGTATATTATTTTTTTTGTATCTCTGTTTTTAAACAAGATCGCCGAAGCAGAAAAGCTGCATGCTGCTCGAGCAACATGTTAAATACAGTCTGGGCCATCAAGAAAGAATCACAAGTAAGACAGCCCAAGTGCAGGGGAACGGTAAAAAAACAAACAAGGAACATTTATTATATACATTGCTTGCATTTGACTTTTGCTGGATTCAGATAGTATTTCAATGGACTACACGGGTGGTATCTGTGGACTTGTCTATATCAACCCTCAAGTAATGTATAACAAACGTAAGCAAAGGTGTCTAGCTCGTTATTAGCCCCTTAAGCCCTAAAATTGAGATTTTACTTAAATCGAATTGTCTTGAAGCTAAAATACCAGATGCTTTTCTCACGCAGACTGTCGCTCTTCATAGGTTCCACATTTTCTGCTGCTAGTGCTGCATCTACCACTGGACAGACGTTCGAATGCTTGCTTTTACTCCTGTTTTTCTCTGATGTCAGAGAGTACAGCTGTAGGGAGTTTGGAGGCTGAGGGAGCTTTTGGGGACCTGCAGCAGTATCTCTTTTAATTGGAAATGACTATTCAAACTCAACGGTGTATTTTCGGAATAGGCTGGAGTAAAGAATGTCAGGAAAACGTATAAACATTCCATATTACGGCACTATTGCCGTGCATAGTTTGGCAGTTCAATACATATCATACAGACAACTGGGGGCAATTCGGCCGTTTTTGCTGCTACCACACAAACTAATTTCCAGTAATTGTGCAGCTTCTAAGAAATATGCCTGCATACGTGTATAAACTATATAATTAATTCGCGAAGAAGCTACATTTATGTAAAACAATCCTGTTCCACGGGCACTTTCAAGATCATCAAACGCACGGCCTTTAACACATCTGCGAACCAGCGCATGCAGAGTGGCAGCGCAGAGTCAGGGTCGCGAGCTAATTTTTCCGACCACCCAAAGGCCCATGATATAAATGCCACTTCAAATGCCTTGAAGGCGGGATCTAATATCGTCTTAAATCATGAACGTGCAAGGAACAGAATTCCAGCGTCTGAAACGCTTGCGCCATCGCTTCACCGACCCCTCGCAAGATTGCCTTGTGTCGTGTCGACGGACGGGTAGGTTCATCGGCGGAGTTGCCTCCACCGAAAGCTTTCGAGATTTGTAACCCAATTTTAAAGGAAAAAGGGACAAGCAGGCTTATAAAATGTACGGAAGCACGTCAATACCGGCCTTGTACACCAGGTAAACGAAGTCCAGCTCCACGAAGAGCTTGCGGCACACAACGCCAAACCAGGAAACCGGTGCTGGGAGGCGAGCCGATGCGAGATCGCGGAGCGGAGTACTCCCCCTGACGTCACAGTACACCTCACCCAACCCGGGCGCGGCGACCGCAGCGACGCTTGTGCTCGCTCTCGGGGCTAATAGCTTGTTTTTTAGGTTCTCGATGCAACGCAGATGAACAAAAAAACTATGCTCTTGTGCAAACGTGAGGCATGTGTGCGCAATACAGTGTAGACCGCATATAACGTATGTCTCGGGAGTCGCGAAAATCCGCACTATAAGCGGTACCGCACTATAACCAAAACATCAATTTTTTAGGCCAAAATACATGCCATCAGACAACTTACCGTTGTAAAAGAACTTATTTTATGTTAGATGAAAAAATAAGCTTAGTTTGAGGAAAGTCTTTATTTCACCAGACTAGTACACTTCTCTCTCAAGTGTGTCACACATTTTGAAACAAATGAGCGGCTTTTGCCTGGCGCAGCCTCTTAGCGGCGTCGCGGGTTGCGGACGGAGTATTGCGAGCGTTCAGGATTGCTAACCCTAATCACTTTTCTCTGGAGATGAAAACGCGTGAAAATTCGCATCCCATACGGTACGCGCCAGTAATACCTTGCATTTGAGCACACGCATGAAATGCGCCAAATAAGAAATCCGGGCGATGTTCGAGGACACAAATGTTTAGAAATCACCACTGTAGTCGAAGTAAACAAACACGACGACACGGGCGTTTCTGCCGACTTGAGAGCGCCGCCCCGACATCGCCGCTCGAGTAGGTGGATCTTACGTGCCGGGTTATCATAGCGACACACGACGAAAATTCACAGTCGAGGATAGCGCTTTTACGCGGAACGATGAGATGAACGCCGTCTACGACGACGATCACAACGTTGATCACAACCGACGCCTTGTTCGCGGATAGAAGCAGCCGGCCCGCGACGGGCATGCAACGCGCGCGAACACTTCTCCTGTCGTTGCGGTTGTTGGTTTCCAACGCAGTGGAGGGACGCACGCACGTGAACGACACGTGCGTGCGTCCCTCCGTCGCTAGGGCAACTGAAGCCTCTCTCTTCGCTTCTCCCGCTTCTTCGAGCACCCTCCTTGCCCCGCGAGTGCCGCTTGCGCAACGCTTGCGGCTCGCGCCGTCAGCGCCGTTATCTAGTGTCGCACAGGCAAGCGTGCTCGCTGCTCCGGTCGGCGGTGCGGTCGGCGGGCTGTGCCAGAAACCGCACTATAACCGGTATTTCCCGTCGCGCGCCTGCGTTTTAAGCGGTATGTAATTACATGGAGTTCTATGGGAGGCGAACCGGTGGTTTAAACAAACCGCGTTATACCCGGTCCTGCACTATAAGCGGTTACGTTGTAAGTGGTCTATACTGTACACTTAAACAAGCCTTGTAAAATAAACTACCTTTGCTCCTTTTAAGCCACCGAGCGCAATGAAGAATACAAATAATCTGTGCGATGCTTCTTTCATTTTAAGATAATTAAATATAGCAAAAATGCCATTTCAAAGGGCTAACAAAGACTTCTTCAATTTTTCCTAAATGTAGAGCCCTTCCACTTCACGTGAAGATGGAGGACCAGCAAAGCTGTTATCTTTACGACGTCTAGGACGATGCCTAGAGGACGACATCTAGGACGACCTTAAAAGCGAATTTTTGGACGACCTCAAGGACAACTTCTAAGACGACCTCGAGGACACCGCCTAGAGGACGACGCCAAGGGCGACCTCAAAGACGATGTCTGGGATGGCCTCAAGGACAACGTCAAGGACGACCTCAAGGTTGACTTCTAGAACGACCTTGAGGACGACCTCGAGGACAACGTCTAGGACGACCTCAAGGATGACTTCTAGGATGACCTTGAGGACAATCTCTCGGACGACCTCAAGGACAACGCCTAGAGAAATTCAGCCTTCCCGCTCTGGTGAAAATCAGAGCAGAAAGGCTGGAAAGGTTGCCGCCGTCACTCATAGATGGCGGTAGTTATTTGGAGTTTTGTGCTGACATTTGTTTGTCTGCGGACACGATACTGGGGAAACCAGCCCTTAACAGTTCTGCTGTAAAAATGAGTAGGCCAGGCATTAGCACGCTAGGGCACCGAAACCCCCTTAAAACCCCCGACGTTTCCCGTAAATTTTTAAGCCACAGAGCGGAGCTCTCACCCAGCCGCGTCAGTGCCAGCAGCGACGTGTTTACGGCCAGAGACAGCTCTATCGGAAGCTCCGGCGGGACGACAGACGTCAGGATCAGCGCACACTCCAGGAACAGCTTGTAACGGTTCCTGTTCGGGTCCTCAGTACCTGGGAGATCGGCCGACAGAGAGGAAGGTAAAGTACCCTCGAGTACTTACGGACTCTCGACAGATGTTAAGTAAAACATTTCGGACATTTCGTCTATCCTGGCATTTCGGAGGAAATAAAACATTCGCTGCTCGGATGATCGGATGCTCCTAGGAAGTCGTCGCAACGTTTCAGGGGCACAAAAACATTGTTTAAAGAAAGGCTTTTTCGAAACATCTTAATACGAGCACCAATCTGTGGTAGATTGAAAATTTAGATCCGTCTTAATGCTACGTATAAAGTAGAGAAACGCAAGATGCGCAACATGTCTTACGATGCACCGGGTGGTTATCCGAGAGCCATTTTGAGTGCCCCTGGCCCGCGTATGACGTCTTTTATAAATCTGTTTTAGGTCCCCCCTCCAAACATCGGTCCGGCCCTCGTTTTTGGCTGATTTTAGGGCGGACCGTCTCCGGGGAAGTTGCGGCAGGCGAGTCTGGTGGAGACCCACCTTTGATCCAGACGTAGGAGGCGGCGGCCACGGCGAACACGAGCAGGAAGAGGATGAAGGCGAAGGTCTCCAGGTTGTTGGCAGTCACCCGCTTCACCCCGAACAGGATCGTGCGCAGCAGCTTGCCCTGAGACGTGCCAAAGCTTGTGCGGAGCACATATGCCACGCACCCGTTGTCCGTCGCTGGAGGGGAAACGACAGAGCAGACGCCGTTCCGGCATTGATAAGATGCTTCGCCCGCCCGTACACGAGTCCGCATGTTTGCATCCGAGTGCGCTCGAGTACATGACCCTTGTATCTGCTTACAACTATGGAACAGACCAGCACAATCTATCACTTTAGCCCCGGCACTGCATATAACTATAGTCTGTTGCAACTCAAGAAGGTAAGGCGAAGGTAAGACGGGCCGGGGAGGAGGAAGCAGACGGAACGCTAGAGAAGAGAGGAGAAAACCTCCTTCTCTCTTTAGCGTTCCGTCTGCTTTCTTCTCCCCGACCAACCTTAACCTCGCCCTACCTTCTTGAGTTGCAACGGACTATAGAGCAAAAATTCCGCGGTACTTGCGAGGTAAAATCTATGCGCTACTTACGAAAAGCGGTCACTTTTAATGTTTTCAGAATTATTTTGAGCAGGCGGCGAGAGAATTATGTGTAACCAATTATGAAAATGTATGCCATCAACGACTTAATTTTCGCAAGCTCGAATCTTTGCAAACCGGTCCAAAGCTCAAAATTTTTAATTATTTTTGGGTTCTAAATTTCTTCTTATAGAAAATTAGAGCATGTGGTGACCATGAATCAAGGTGACCCGTGAACTCCGGCCCATTGCATTATTTTATTTTGAGTATTTTATACACAGTCGCCGACCGATTTTTCGGACTCCGATAATTCGGACACGTCCGATTATTCGGACGTTTTTGCCGACCCGTAACTTACCCCATAGAGTTATGTATAACATTGATCGAAATTTCGGATGTCATAAAGCTTATTGCTCGATATTTCTGACATAATTTGCGTGATTTCCTCAGTATACAGCCACAAAACAGCGATAACGCCGCAAGCTTAGTCGCCGCCATTTTGGTTGTTTTGATTTTGCCCTGTAGCCTCGATACCACGCCCTATGCAATAAACAAGCTGGGTTGAGGCTATTCGCGACTCCAACTAACTACAGGTGGCGCCACTCATTTTCCAAAATGGCGGTTATAGTGAGGGTCGGAGATGCGTGCTGCTGTTGAGCCTGTCTAGTGTGCTGGCTTCACTGAGCGACACAAATTATTTCTGGTAATACGAGGAAGCTAGGGTGTCATGTGCACAGGTCACCTCTTTAACCTGAAAACAAGAACGGTGTTAAGCGAAATATTTACAAAATGATGCGCGTTTTAATTCTGGAGCGAAACCGAAACTAACCTCTATTTTGGATTTAATTTCTCGATATAGGTCTCAATTTCGGATTCTTTTCTAACTCAAGATGTGTCTCACATCGTAATTATTTGGTTAGAGAAGTTGTTCGCGGAAACTTTATTTTGTGACATACATGTTCGATCCAGGCTGATATTTGTAGTTGTTGAAAAAGTCAGTGCTGATATTTGTGCGTTCTCGCTGCCTTTTCTCGCTCAGGTAATTGTCCTGGGAAAAAATTAACTGCGGGTCTTTTAATGGGTTTTTGGCTATTTAGATGACTAATCGGTTTGACATTATTCCCAGCACAAGAATAAGAGAATAATTAAAATTTTTACAATATGTCCACAAAACGGATAAAGTAACAAACGCTGTTCTCACTGCAACAACCCAAAGACGGAATCCGAGTCAGACAACTGAAATGTGTGTGTTTTTTATAGCAATGCGGGATGCATATGACTTTATATTACATCCAGTGTTTGACTGTTGGTTTATCTTGATAACGATGTCAGAGTTTTTCATATGCTAAAGAAAACAAAATTATTCCTTTCTGGAAAGACTATTATGGTTAAATGGCGTATTTTCGTGATTTTGGCGTTATTGGGGACAATTTTTCAGGCACTAATATAATTTATTGCTTACGATCTAATTTCAAACGCGCGAACACATGTGACAATCAAAAGTGTGCTAATTACCATCACTGGTACCAATTGCAGCATTTTTAATTACACAGTAATAAAATTAAAATAGTCTAAAATCAATGAAAACATTCTAGCTAATGTGAGAAATCCATGTAAAATTACATTAATTGAAGGTAAAGTATATTTTGCTATCAATGCCGCGACTTTTGACAATCGGCAAAACGTCCAAAATTGCGCCAACATACTACCAGACCAAATGCCCAAAAGTAAAAAAAAAATAATAATAATAAAAATCAAACATTTTTATGAAACAACGAAACAATTGCAGCACGTGTTCCGTTAGCGTTGGAAGCCGGTGAAACAGTAGTGAGTTTTAATATTGCGTATACGAGCGAACGCACGCGCTGTGTGTTTGCGTTAGCTTTCCGTGTTCCACACTGCGCGTGTGCGGAGCCCAAAATCGCGGTCTTGGATGGCACATGGCGATGAGGCGCAGGCACAACATGGGGCATGCAAATCTAACGCCAACGCACAGCGCTTGCGTTTGCTTCTATATGCAATACTAAAACTGTGTGCTTGCGTTAGCTTTGCGTGTTCCACACTGCGCGTGCGCGGAGCCCAAAATTGCGGTCTTGGATGTCGCATGGCGATGAGGCGCAGGCACAACATGGGGCATGCAAATCTAACACAAATGCACAGTGCTTGCGTTTGCTTCTATATGCAATACTAAAACTCTCCAGTACGGTACAATCTCACACCGGCTGCAGCACTACATTGGGACAGCGAAGAGTGTTGTTTCCATTCGAAAATGACATTCCGCGAGCCATGATCGCGAGCAGTTCCGCCGTGCCCGCCGAGCCGGAGAATCAGGGGACCCTCACTAGAGCGCTTCCCGTTTCTGCTGTGGAAGGGCGAGCGTCGAGCTGGAGACGCGAATAATCGAGTTTTCCGGTTCCGCTATAGCCAACATGCCCTCCGTCTGCCCATTCTTCTGGTTCTTCCAGATCTTCTAGCGGTCCATGTTTATCGAGTGCGACCGTGAGAAGAGTGGCCGTCTGCCATTCTTGTGGCCTTTTGAGCGCGAAGATTTTTGGCCAATAGGCTTAGTATTGAAGCGAGCTTGGTGGACTAAATGTTGTCTCCAAATAGTGCCAAATGGCACCAACTTCAACTTCTCTGGTTGTGCCAACGAAGGCGCCGACAAAGCGCAGCACCGTGCTCAGACAGATCAACAAACAAGTGAGAAGTGAACAATATAAAGCGGAAGTACCACGATAACTTAAAATTGACATCAAACAAGTCGAAAGTGGCCAATACGCACCGTAATATGCGCGGAAATTTGATACTTTGGCTGAAATCGATTTTTCGGACTGCTTGATTATTCGGACAATTTCGGGGTCCCCTCCAGGTCCGAAAAATCGGTCGGCAACTGTACTTGCGTTTTCAATAGAATGCGTGCAACGATCGCGTGAGGACCTCTGCACGCACGTTTTCTCGGCATTAGATCGTCACTCGATTAAGCGCAGCCTCTCGATACGGCTTCCGAAGTCCCAACATTCTGCTCGAATTGTTTGCGGGAGCTATTTTTCGTGAATCGAGTTGTGAAATTTTTGAAAATTAGATTGTCGCGAAAATTGAGTCATTTAGAGCAGGCGGGTCGAAAGTGTTCCAGTGCTACCCGATACATAGATGGCGCGACAATGGCAGTGCGCCCTCTCGTCGTAGGCGGAGGTGTGGACCGGCCTTCGGGTGTCTAGCGATGGCTTAGAGTGTGAGCAGCTGGCAAAAATAGTACAATATTTATTGTATTAAGATTCATTGTGAGTTGGGAGCGATTATAAAACACGTTTCATTTTCGTGATGCCAACACCACAATTCCCTTCCAGGATTACCGTAAGCTCTGAGGTGGTGATTCGGGACGGTGGATTCGGACCCAAGGAAAACGGCGCGGTAAGTTGGGAAAACCGTGTTTTCCTCACTCTGCGCAATTGTGTCACGTTTTTATTGAATTTATAACGAATTAGTGCATGGTTGTCAGACTGACTTGCTGATTTCTGTTTTACTTTAGCGAAAAACATTTTTTAAGTGTCAGGTGGAACAAATTAAAAAAACATTGATGTAGCAATTGCTAAATATTGCGACATTTTAAAGTAAATGTTTATTAGCGTCATTTTTGCGCGTTTATTTGCAAAATTACAGTGCCTTCAGTCACGGTATGTGATGACCTCTGGTACGCCTGTGTGGCTGGTTTAGTTTGTTTTGGAACTTCGTCGACGCAAGTCTGCGAGTGGGAGCACTTGGGGCGGAGGTCCTGGCAGGTACCGTGGATACTTTGGTTTTCTGCGTGTCGCGGTGAATCCCCCATCTAGCCTTCACCAGAAGTCACACTACTACTATAAGTATGAAAGGTTTCGAATATTGCGCCAGCTCTGTGTGCTTCGATGGCTCATAAAACTGTTTAGGAACGTTGCACTTAGAAGTTTCGGACGTGCAAAAACGAGTCCCTTTGTTCTTCGTTCAGTTTTGTACGAAGGCGCTTAAACTGAGATCAAAACCCAAAATTCAAAATGTGCGCTAATCACAAAAAAAAAACTAGTCTTTTTGTGTTACAGAAAGAATAAACAAAAAGAACGGACAAGGACGGACAGCTGCCCGTCCTTGTTTGTCTTTTTTGTTTATTCTTTCTGTAACAAGTTATCAAAAACCAGCACACTCACGTTACACTGTCTTTTTGTGTGCTTGTTTTTGCCTTAACACCTACTTGTCTTTAAACTGCATATCCTTAGAACTGCGATGGGTTCCTGAAGATATTTATTAGCCAAATTTGCAACTTTCTTCTAGGATTACAAAAAAGTGTGCTATTCTTGGGCATATCAACAGCTTACATGGTGCTATGATTCTTACTTTGTGTGACCGTGTCCTGCTTTAAATGGATTATCTCGCTTGAACTTACACAGTGAGGCTCTGCGAACAATTTTTGTTGCATTCTTTTATTTTCGGGTGAGTAAAAAATGTACTTAATCCGAATATTTTTCTTCATCCAATAGACTTCAAATTAAGGAGGTTCTATACTGCACACGAGAATCGATAAATATACAAAAACCTATCACGATACTGCTGCCTTTATGAGGACTCGGGATAAGAAAGGCTGAAAGAACCACTAACGCATTTCCTATATTCTTACTGCCACTTTCTTACTTACGTCAATTTTTCACGGACTTTACGAATCGAAGTTACGACAATTTAGGAGAAACAACGAGAGATACCTATTTTATCTTAGAGAAATAAACAATGATATCTCATGCCAAAACATGATAGGAATAAATGACCAGAACCAAAAGCCTCCCATGCAAAACAAGCTTTGAACTTGTACCTATTATATTTCCACATCTTCAATGCAGTTCCATCCAGAGCTGCGAAAGTACTTTTGAAAGTAATCGAGTTAGAATTACAGTTCTTTCAGACGAAATGCAGTAAGCTTATAAAAATGGTTTCAGATACACCCATCCGACGATGTCGAGATGTGCTGCGATTATTGACCAACTGCTAAATTTCCGACGCGAGAAAGATATTGAAAAGGTTCCATTTCGATTCGGCACTCTGCTACGGCAGAGCATGAGGTGGTTGCAACCCGCGGTGCTGCTAGTGAGACTAAATAAATGTGAATTTGTGCAACTGTCAAAGTAATTTCGAGAAGAAATCGTAAGTGAACTAACTTAGTACAAGTTTAAGTTGTTACAGTTCATGAAATTGCATCGTAACTTCTTTTGTATTTAGTTACTGATATTGCAACCAGGTGCTGTAAAAAGGGAAAAAAAAAAAACCATGTTTTCTTCGCCGCAAAAATAAATGCTCAGTCTCAGTCCAAACGTAGTGCTGGCGGTCGAAACCAGTTTGAGAACTCGCCATCATCCGATTCACAAGTCAAAAGCGATTCTCAGAAATTTTCAACGGGACGATGGGGCTTCGATATCGGTATCAGATGCCCAATCACCTTTACGCATTCGCAGGCCCCGTTGTCCACCATTTTCGCATTCAAAATGTCCGAAAATCGCGCGTAACTTTGAAATCAGACGACGGCACTCCGAAACTTGGGCGTCCGGTCTGAACCGTTGGGCGCCACGTTCAAGCAGGGATCGGACGCTCGGCAAGGCGGGGACAATTTTTGCGGCGAGAAAAAGGAGGCTTCCCTTTCTCCCAAACATTCGGTGCTTTTGGTTAGTCGCTGCGAGGTCGGGCCCGGGTTCGGACCCACTTCGACGAGCGGTAAAGGTGTGGCCTCCAAAGCGCCTCCAACCTGTGCTTCCGCTTCACCGCGTCGCAAGTGTCGCACCATTGCCTGTCGCGATCCCAGAGGCGACGCGGCGGAAGAGGCAGACAGGGCGGACGCTCGTTCTGCTGCAGGTTGCTCCGCGGCCGAATCATCAACAAAAACCGAGGCAGACGCGAGTCGGGTCACGCGACACTCCGGCTTTTGCTACGTCGCTCGTTGCCACTTTGGGACCGCTTTCGACGGCGAAAGTGTGGAAGTGCTCGAGGGCCCGGACTCACGCCTCAGGCCGGGGCTGGTCTTGGCGAGGGGCGTGTGCTGCAGCACCTTGGTGCCCCCGAACAGGACGTGCAGCCGTCCGTCCGTCTCTATGTCCAGCTGGTGGTCCAAGTCTGCAGACTCTATGGGTTCCTGTCGAAGGTGGAAGAAGACGTCACGATGGCGGAATAGGTTTTTTTAGTGCGCAACGGGCAAATCGGGAGGAAAGAACAATGCTCCAACTGTCTCTGAAGAAAAATCGAGCACGGGGCTCCGATATCCTAAGCCCGACGCTCGACTTTAATGCCAATGGGGACACTTTAAGCGAGAGTTATTATGCGCCGCTCTCCTCTCTTCAGCATGGGTCGCAGGCCGAGGATGTGTCGCGGTTTTCGCAATGCCTCGCAAGATGGCCGAGCAACTGAAAAGGAGGTACTAGCTCGACAAAAGCGGTGACATGTTGAGCGTGACCATCTCTATTGAATGAAAATAGGGTTTGTCACAATTTAATCGGCAGAACCTGGCCTTCGTAGAAAACAAGCGGTGCTTTCGTATTTCAACGTAATCTGCAGTGAAGCACCGCAAGAACGCAGCCAAATATATTTTATTTCCAAGGCATCTTGGAAAGACACTGCTTTAATTGACGGATGTTTTGAAGAGTCACTTCCCCAAAATCTGTGTCAATTAAAACCTCCCCTACCATTTTAACTTTTTTTTTTTATAACTTTTAACTTTTTTGGTGAAGAAACATTTGGCTCCTGGTGGGACAGGGCATCAAAATAGAGCAAAACAAAGTCCCAAAAAAGCACAGCCATTCTTTGAACTGCACGAATCCTAACTAAATGTGTTTCAGAATTTCCAGATTTCTCGAGTCATTTGTATAATTTCCAGCAAAAGTAGCCACTCCTAGGTGGATCTTGACAAATGGATGACACGGACAATTGCGCGCACGTGAAAACCATCGGCATGGAAAGCATTCCCTGCAGTCTACCTTCTAAGTTCAGCAGAACTCCACAATTTGCGGCGATTAACCGGAGCGCACTATTCATTCTTTCACGGCCGTAAGCTAGTAACAATAACTATCTTAAGCACGAATTCAATAAAGTGAGGCAATTACCGAGCTTGCAGGGTTCAATTCGATGTACACTAGATAGAACTCGGCAAATGTTTGCGCTTATATGAACAGAAGTGACGAAGCTGACGAAGGCTGAACATCAACTATGATCTGCCAACACTTGAGCAATTCTCGAACCATCGCAACACTAATACTAACTAGTGATGAGCCAAACCTTTGCCAAAACAAAAATTTGGCAAAGAATCTGGAGATTCAGCATAGCCAAACATTTGCCTAACTTTTACAGAAATTCGGCAAAGATTCAGCAAAAACACGGAGTTGTCAGACTAACTGATATTTTGTTTTACTTTAGCGCAAAGTATTTTTAAGTATGTATCTAGTAATACAAATTATTAAATTAATGTTACGTAGCAAAATCTAAATAATGAAATATTTTGAAGTAAAAGTATATTGGTGCCCTTCTTAGGCATTTATTACAAAATTACAGCGACCTCAGTCATGGTAATAAATTTTTACAAGCTCCAAGTGCAGGCACTGTCAATAAAATACTACCTATGCCCCACGTTCCCTTATTTGACCACATTGGGGACCAAGACACATTGCTCCCCTACACAACCAAGAATCTTTTTGTCCTATTTTGCAACATTATTGAAGGCTAGCCACATGAACAAAAAAAAGCTGTTATTAAAGGAAGGATATCACTTTCTACCATTTTAATCACTACTTTCATTAAGGGTTGATAGCATGCAGTTTCTCATCCACATTTATCCTCAAAGCCTCACTATTGTTTATAATGCGTAAAATATCCACTAGTCTATATCTTTTGCACAAAACTTTTACCAGGAGCAGTACTAACGACAATAATCAATCGGCAAGTTTTCCGACGTCGGCGCATCATTCGTGGTAGCACATCCTGCCGTTCAATCTATGCTGATCTATGCGCAGGGCAGAAGATATATTGACTATAAGTAAAAGGAACTAAAGTGCCGACAAAAACAAAGTCACTCTAATATTTAGCGAAACGTGCCCCGCTCGCTTGTCCCCTGCGCAGTACACAGCCTGTTTGATCTTCAGCTCTTGACCAAAAAAACGGACAACGACCCCACTAGCCGTAAAGTTGCGCTTTGCCTACCGCCGCTTTGGGATGCGTAATAGCAGTGCTGAAACACTGTTGTCCGTCGTCTCTGGTTACCTTCCGTCACATTCCTAAGGTAGCGACCGTCAGCCGATGTTGCCAGCATTGCAGTTTGTGGGCACGCAGAGACGTTTGCCAAATCTTTGCCGTGTTTGCCTCCAAAAGTTTGACAAGTGCCAAATTTTGCTGTATTCGAACTTTGGCTGATTCGGCCAATCACTATTCTTACCACAAAATGTGTTTTTATCAGCTGGTTTACATGGAGTTTGGTAACGTTTGACTGTAACGGCCAGCCGCGACGACCAGCCGTAGCGGCCGGTTGCAACGAAAAACCGACACCAAAAAAACATTACGCCCATAGGCTTCAGTCCTCCCAGTAGGATTCGAACTCACCACCTCCAGAGTGTGAGCCAAGTGCTTTGCCGATCGAGCTATCTAGATTTGGTGGTATGGACCAAGCAAGAGCAAGCTCACTCACATGGTGCGTGAACAATCTCGAGTGCTTCGCAGCCTTTCCAGTCAAGCAGAGCCATCTCACAGCGTGTCATAAATGAAAGAGAATCTTCGATAGGCGGTGCAGTTCAGATGTCCTTCTCCATCTTCCCCGGAAGGCCTATCGCATATTCCGCGTTTACCAGCCTTTGTCGACATGACTGAACTTTTTAAAAGAAAATGAGGCAATTTTTTTATCGAAACATGTTCTGGTAGAATTTTTCTCCGACAGACCTTTTGCAAAAATCCTGAACGTTTGCGCGCTAAATCCCGGGTGCTTTCCCTCGCAGCATCCACTCTGTGACACCGAAGAGAGCTAGAGAGAAAAAGGACTCGCGCATTTTCATCCGCGTTTTCTCCCTCACCTCCGTCGGCCGCTTCATCCAATTCCATGCCTAGGTTTCCCTGGATTCTTTTCGGCACCGCAGATGGTGCCGCACGTTTTGAAACGAGACCATTGTTTAAAATTCTTAGATAAAATTTGAATCGCTCGACCTAACCGTCCTCGTTAAATTTTCGCTCAGGCAAAGATTTTTCCATCCGAAGGTCAAAGCATCTACGGCTGCCATTGACGAGATTAAGAACGAGCCGCACTTTCCAACCGACCACGTGGAATCACAAACACATCAAGTCATATTGGGAGTGGACACCGATTGCAAAGCCAATCGGTAGACATCGCACTCAGAGTGGCCAAGTGCCGGTAATTCGTACGCGTCTCCAAAACGCAGCGCGTGGCGTGCCAACTCATTTCTGCAAGTTTTCCCGACGATGACTTGCCTCCTAAAACGGATCCCTCGAAGTCCGTGGAACTGCCGAAATTGCGCGACATTTCCGGGTTTTCGGACGCACAGAAACTTTTTACAACAGTTGGATGTAGGCATCCTTCCCAAAAGGTATGAATTGAGACTAACCGCAAATTTAAGCTCGGAAGACTTCGGCAGCGCGTCGCTTGGTCCCCGAGAGAGCGAAGGCGGCGGGGCGCGTTTCCAGACGGCCGACCTCCAGGGTGCACCCCCTGCCTTCTGCTCTGGCCGCCCGTGCGCACTCGAGGTGCACAAGACGCCAAAAAGGTCGTCGAAGGTGAAAAGCTCGTGCCAAAGGTGATGTAATCGAAGCCCCCTCCCCACCGTTTCCACCCTGTGCGCGACCGCAGATGCAGGAAGTTCCGTCTAAAACGTCGGGCAGGGAGACACGCGGGTGGAACGGCGTGCGAGCTAACCTTCATCTGCGGCACGGACTCCCCGGTGAGCATGGACTCGTCTACGATGCAGGGGCCCCGCAGCAGGAGCAGGTCGCAGGGTACCAGGTTGTCGTTCTGGGACCTCCCTGCAAACAAAGACGGGTGTCCGGCATTCGCGTCTGCAGTCTCTCCGTTCTCGCCATCTCGTGCCTGCACGGCCGTAGAGAGAGGAACTAATTAATGGACCTCTTCCGAGTAACGAGAGCCATGTGGCGGCTTGCCCGCGAACTACAAATTAAGAGCAGCCCAACGGGACTTCACCCGTCAAACACATTGACATTGCGCAATTGTATCCGTTTTCATTGATTTTCGTGCCCCATGCTACCTATACCTGAAAAAAGAATCGTCAAAAAAGACGAAATACGCGGAAAGATGGGCGCCAACGATGTTGGTCGTGCGGGACAATGCTTTCCGAAAATGGAGATGGCGGGAAGCGAGGCGGGGGAAGAGGGTGTACACACGCGCAGAGGCTTACTGGGAAAAGGTCCATTATTAAATGCTTTATGCAATGTTTGTTCTCCTACCGTGCAACTTCCCTAAGCGTCGGTAACCCTTTCGCCGCTCCCTTTCCCCCTCCAAGTCCCCGAAATTTCTTTGAAGTATAATTAACGTTTCGGGATGAGGTTTGAACGGTGAAGCTAGAGTCACCCGATGATCAATGCTTCGTAGTGACGCCGCTTCTTCGGCTGTCTTGCCGCTTAAAATTGTCGTTGTCAGTTTTCCGAATCTTCTTCTGAAATCGTACGAAACGCTTTTTCCTCCTCCAAAAACGTTAAAGCAGTCCACAACAGAAAGAAACGACGTTGCCCGAGCTTCCATACACCGTGTTTAGAGCTCGAAAAGGCGCGCTTTATAAATGGAGACGATCCGGGAACACAGTGCCCGTACTCAAAGTGCTGTACCGTACCAAAAATCGGAAGATTGATGCTCTCCTCGCGTCTTTTGCGAGCGCACCGCGCCTCCAAGGCATTCAAAAGGTTTATTTCCTCGGTAATTACAGCGCAGAAGTTTACCAAATTTCACCATATTGCGCATTAATAATTAGAGGTGCCAAAACTGCAACATATGGAGAACACAATTTTTGCAGAAAAATGGACGCTTTAGGGCTGTGTGCCCCCTTAAAATGGCGAGACCCAGCACCGCTGGCAACTCGACAGGGAAGACGAAGGAAACAAAAGCGTGCTATCCACGATGAAGTGCACATAGACGCAAAGCACGAGATCCACTGCCGGTGTCCTCCACTTTAGCCGTTGACACGGTCCGGTTCGTACGTAGCCCACAGATTCTCTTCTCAATCAGAGCTTCTCGCAGTTGGCGAAAAGCGGCTCCGATGTAGCAGAGAGCGCGCGTAGGGAAGCCTCGACCGCTTTCTGAAGGCAAAATAAACATGCGCCCGTGACGGGCCGTGTCATCTTTCTTTTTGCGTGTTTTTTTTTTGTGGAGTCCAGATATAACGAAGGAGCGGATATAGCGAAGTGATTACTGATCCCCGTCGAAGTCGTTATAACCGGTCTTGACGGTACAAGGAGCACTGCAAATTTCGAGGAGATTTAAAGGCCCTTGAAAGGCTTTGATCGAAATCCCAGATATTTGAGGATTTCAAGAACCCCAAAGCTATTGTCTGGGCGCCGCCAAGAAGGGGCGGAAGTTGACCAATGAGCGTTCTCAAATCAGGCACTCGCTCGGGAGAATAGAAGGGAGGGTCGACACTGACCTATAGAAACTATGTCTCCGGGGATCAGGTCGCAGCTGAGTATCGGCCTCCATTTCCGGTTCCTATACACCTGAGGGAAACAAAAAGAGAACCGCATGAGTTAGAAATGCAGCAGACGCAAAAAAAAAAGGAAGAACTCGTCCCATTATGATAAAACAGGGGCCTAAAACTAATTATATTTAAAAAAGTAGTGGGCTCCAGTACCTTAATGCAAATATCATGGCTATGGAAGACCCAAAGTTGACCAAAAAAAAAGAGCTCAGAATATTCCAACAGAAAAATACACAAAAGTTATACTTAGAAGAACTATTCTGTTCTAAAAGGGGGCAGTATCTTACTGTGCAGAGATGTCCCACCATCAAAATGTAACCCACGCCCTATTTTCGGCTTGATTCAATATTTTATTTTAAATAGCGAAAGATAGCACACTCCTAGTAATCGCAGTGTTTGGATCAATGATGACCCCCGGAGCAAACGCGGCTATTTAGCTATGGCGGGGGTATCTGATGTTCCCAACATAAGCACTGGTAAATAAAGAAGAAGTGTTGGGGGAGCTCGTGAGATCGAGGCAGGATGTCGGGGCACAACGCTTATGGAATGCACATGGTTCTGGTCTCAACCATTGACCTCATAACATAACAGGGTATAAGTGAACACTGCTAACTGGGAAGTACGGTCATCTTTGCTTCATTGTCCCTCGCCACGATAACAAGTTTGGCAGAAAAAATGTGATCTAAACATGTTGTTTTTCTTTTAAGCCTTTCTCGATTGTACATTGAAGTTCACCCGATTTATTCACGATGTTAAGTGCGCTACCACTTAGGGTATTAAGTAGTCCCGTAAAGACTTCCAATGCCGAAAGTTCACAACCATACTTTTTAAACACTTCATAGGAGCAAACTTAAGACTCTAGAGCAGGGGTGGCCAAGCTGCGGCTCTTCACGTTATAAAGTGCGGCTCGCGGCTCCCTCCCCTACCCCCCCCCCCCCCCCCACCCCACTCCCCCGCCTCCCTCCCGGTCACGCGAGGACTTCCCCAAAATGAGAAATGGAACGCGTTTTAAATCGAAAGACAGGTTGCGGTTGGGTAGTCTCGTACTACTGCTACCTCACGTACACTTGGACTGCTTTTGACCTGAATAGATTGCAAGTAGTTCGAGTTTAATTTATTGCTCTAAACAAAATGCCCCCCCCCCCCTCCCCCCCGCGGCTCATGGAAGTTTCGTGGTTTTGTTTGCGGCTCTTAGGCAGGGTCAGCCTGGCCACCCCTGTAGAGAGTCACGTGAAGGTCATTATCGTTCGATTAGCATACATCGCCGAAAGGTATGTATTGGCGGGGAACTCAAGATCCACGGGGTACCTTTCTCTGCTCCCTTTTTAACGCAAACGTATATTTAGCGTGACAAACGTGGGTGTTACATAGGCAATGGACGCAGAAACGGCGCATGGCTAAGAGCAACGCTTACGATGCACTAACCCTTGTTCACAAAAACAAGTTTACACAAAGCACGAGTCGGGCATAATTCTCGTTTTTTATCGCCAAATTAATAAAAAGATACCCTTCTCATATCACTAATTCCTAAGAAGCCCGTAACCTGAAAGTTAAATGGCAGAGCCACAACACCGAAACGACGAATTCCGCATCGATTGACTTTTTTTTAATAAACGCTAGGGGGCCGGACATTAGCCTAAGGAGTGGAGCCGCGCAAACATCAAATCTTTCACCGCGAATCGAATTAGAATATATTTGAACACGCGTCGCAGATTATATTCATATTTTCCAATGAAAATTCTACAAAAAAAAAAAAAGGGAGAAAAAAAAGGCTGTTGTCAGACCGCACACCTGAATCATGTAGGGCTTGTTGCCCATCTTGCGTATCTCGGAGAGGTTCCTGAGCTGTTGCTGCACCAGGGTGCACTCGAAGGCGACGAGCATGAGCAGGGTGAACACGCTGTAGTACCAGAACTCGTCCAGGCACCACAGGGCCACGCAGAACACTTGGAACACGAAGAAGGGCGCCGTGGCACGCTCCTTGAACAGCTCCCCAAACTCGGGCACCACCATCTCCAGGCTGGAAGCAAAAGGGACGACGGGAACGGGGGGGGGGGGCAGCTTAGCCAACGCCTACCGCAGGCCAGAGCGTCAAATCTTCGGAACTTCTCGAGCCTTTCCATCTCGGGTATCTCTCTTCGTCAATGGCGAGACGCCCAATACAGTGAAATGTTGTTAATTCAAACTCGCGGATAATTCAAACTAACACGCAGGTCCCGTCCTATGTGTTTCGAGGAAGGAAACTCCCAGCAATTCAAACTTTGCATTATTCCAACAAAGTTCCGCTCCCCCTCGGGTTCAAGTTACCAAGATTCCACTGTGGTTGCCAGAGGTTGGAAGCTCGCGCCGGATTCGGGACAACCCTAACTCCTCTCTGCCGTTCTATACCCATTGGCAACAATTCGGCCGGACCGCGGGAACGCGCCGGAGCGATGCCTGTGGCGCCGCGAATTCATCCTACACGGGGCGTTTGCCCGTCCAGTTACAATGGCGAGCGACGCGTCGCAATATTACTGCGGCTTTCGTCCCGTTAGAAAACGGCAATTACTGTTTTTTAGGGAGGCAGACCTCCTTGAAGGAAGGTTGCTTGCGTGCAGGGTCTCTGGGGTAGAGGAAATAATCTGGGCGGGAGAACGTCTGTGGACAGCGAAGTGTGTCTCGCGAGTGCCAAGCAGTGGTGCCCGAGACGTCCGCTTGGAGGTAAGTGCTGCATTTCTCTACAGTTTCGCTCCCCGTAAGAAATGCGAGCTGTTCGGAGAAAGATGAGGATGCTGTAGCGTTTAAATCGTTGTTTCGCGTACAGCTGCGCGGTCGCAAACGCTCCTCGAGCGAGGGCAAGCGCCCTTGCAAAGACGGATTTACCGGCTGCTGTAAGCGTGCGACGGCCGTTTCAATTCGCGCGAATGAAGTCGGCGACGAGACATGCACAGCCAGACTGCAACGGTAGGTCGCGCCGTGCAAAAAGCCGGAGCAAGACAAGAACGTAACCAACGCTCATCTCTTCCCAGATATCTCAAGAGGGTCAAATAACAAAATTCTCAAGTTTTACTACCCACCGCAACACCTCGTTGCCTTTGCACGCGTGTACCGCTACCGTAAAAGCGGTAGAGTCGTAATTCAAGTATGCGCGCCGGTAACAAAACCTAGTACCTTTATCAGGAAAAACTAGCGATCGCCGATCAACTTGCACTCGTACCAATAATGTCGCCTTTATTTTTAAAGATCTTTTCTTATGTTACTCCAGAAAAAAAATTTTGAACACAGTTACAAGAAACTACAAAAGAATGAAAATTTTTAACAGATATACAAGAAACTACAAATAAGTTATCTTGCATGATTTTTTCATTTTATTGGCTGTTTCGGCACAGTTATACTTTATATATCTAGAAATAGGCACCAGGAAAGGACTACAATATTACTTCTCTCTCTTTCTGCAAAAAATGTGGTTAATTCTGAATTTCAGACATACATTTTCAGTTATTTACCTCGGAGATGTGTCCTGTCCTCGTCTCATTTATGCTACTTTCCTTTAATAGCTCGAACAGTACCAGTATGCTCCAATCAATCGTGCCAGGAATGTTCTAGTGTCCAGTTTTTAAAGTTCCTTGGAAAGCAATTATGCTTAATGTAGGCTAACTACAACCTTTAATAAGACATATATAAAAAAAATGAGAGTGCAGCCCTCCAGTGTCCATTTTTTTCAACTATGCGTTCAAGTCAGCGTGCAATGCGGGCTACGATTATCTGCCTCATTTAACCTCTGGCATCTTTCGCCGCTTACTCACTTTGTCTCGTAAGCATCGGGAAAGAAAATTGGCCAATAAGGTAAGTGAGCTAAGTTCTCAATTTTAAAGCTGTCTAAAAATGGAAACTGCATTTTCGGCTCTTTTTTTGCCGGCAGCCACAGGGAACCATCGTAGCTATTACGTTAGGTACTTCTCGTAGATCGTCAGCTACGGATTGTGAGCCCCAAGGGTGCGAGCTTGGACCATGCTTGAAGTGACCCCACGAGCTCCCACAAGCAATGCAAAACTCTCGCGTGCTCTTGCGTGCTATCTATGAAACATCCCTATTAAGGCCCGTTCACAGTCTTGCGACCGAGTACGACTGAGAGAGACGAGATCTCTTAAAACTTGTTAAATGTTTTTAGAATGAGGGAACACACTGGCATTGTGGTGCCATCTATGCGGTGACCCTGGAACTGCATTTCACAAGAGCGAAGGTTTTGCGGGATTTCCGAGGTCAAATGTGCGTAATACCCATAGAAAGGCTCGTTTATAACATTGACAAAAGTTTTTCGAGCAAGAAAGAAAGGATAATGGGCGAGAAATAAAAAAAACTATGCCGGACCGCCGAGTTTACACTGCTTCCCAATAGGTGGCGCCAGTGTGTTCTCTGGTTTAAGAAGTTTTAAGGAACCCAGGTTTAAGAGGTCGCAAGAGTGTGAACGGGCCTTTAGCGTGGCAAGATAAGCGTAGTTGCACTACCGAATCGTGCGACGAGACGGGGAAACAATAATAAACCCTGTCCTCCGCACAGCCCTAATCTATGATTACGTCTAGGTTTCCGGGATCACCTACCGGGAAACTAATCAAACTTTTCGGGAGACACATTTCCCATTCCGTTTAAAACGATGCTGTGGCGTTTGACTACTCGACAATACACCTCGCCCTTTTGCCTTCGGCACCTTATTTTACGAAGTGCGAGGCCAACACGACAAACGCACCAGCGTCCCACGTCGTCTACTCTGCCGACACATACGCCCAACTGGATCCTCCCAAATGCTCTTTCCATTTCCTGCCATTGTTCGTTGGGTGGCTTTGAGTCGGCAGAGATGAGATAGCATCACAATGTAGTATACTTCGCAACCAGATGGTGCTGTCATTGCTATCCGACAACAAACCCAAATAGTGACTGCAGCTTAAGTATTTTGTCTTTTAAAGCCCTAGATTCGAGTGCAGGCAGATATGTAATTAACAGAGACACGTACAGGTATCATTCTAGACATTACACTCGTCCGAAGATGCAGGTGCGTGCCGCGGAGAAGTACAAGAGTGAGGGACGAAAAAATACATGCCTAACTAATAAGAAGCACACGTGTAACAGTTATCCTTCAAAACAAATTGTCGTCACTTCAAAATTACAGGTGCAAGGCCAATCCAAGGCTGAACTCAGAAATATTTTTTTTTTTTCTTTCACTGTCACGAGCGATACTTGACACAAACCTGTTAAATGTAGCAAACTCCGGTCACAATAACTGGAGTTACTGTGACCGGTGTTATTGTTAGTTTATCAAAATAACTTAAGGCTAAGGCAAAAATTTTAAGTGAGGGCAGACAATAACAAAGTACAGTCGACTCTCATTAATTCAAAATCTCTTAATTCAAACTTGCAGATAATTCAAACTAACATGCAGGATGTAAAATAATTCTAACTGAACAAAGACTGACATAAGACTGTTGTCGGTAGACAAAGAAGAAGAAGATCAAAGGGCAGGGGCTCGCGCTAGGGGAGCCATTGAGTCAGAAAAAAAAGAAGGTTCCCAACCAAGTAGGTTGTCCTGTCTTTCACAAATCGACCTCTCAAGGTCACCGGCAAAGTCATCAGTCGACGAATAGAGCGCTTCAATGTGCAACACACGTCCCATCTTATGCATCTCTATGGGGGGGAAACTCCTGGTAATTCAAACTTTGCTTTATTCAAGCAAATTTTCGGTCCCCCTCGAGCTTGAATTAACAAGATTTGACTAAATACCGAACATGAAATGCATTACATGACATGGAATAACGAGAAATACCATAGAAATGCCCAACAAAGAGCAGTATGCAAATTAAATATTACTTCAAAGATGGAACAATGTAAAAAGTACCAATTATGTCAAACAAAAAAGAACCGTTAAAACATAAAAGAATATTTCTAAATTTAATGGGGCAAAACAGCTAAGACTGCGACTCCTCGTAAGGTGGAACAGAGCATAGGGACAATGTTGTCCCTTGCTGCACGCAACTTCAGCGCAGCTAGGCACGGTGCCGTTTCTTTGTTAGACGGAGGGCAAGGTCCTCGGTGGGATACCCACTCGTTCTTGCCGAAGCGGCGCTCCGCGTTGGACACCTCTGCGTCGTCCCCATAGCCCTTGCACTCGTGGTAGGACCTGAAGGGCATCCCCACGGGAAACTGGATGCCGTAGAAGCACTTGCGGTCAAAGTTATACAAGTACTTGGTCTTCTGGAACACGAACCAGACAATGGGCTCGTCCTCACCCGGTACCTGCGAGATGCAGAGAGAAAAACTGTGAACGGGATGGCGCTCCTCTCATCGAGAGATGGGCGGTGCGGCAGACAGACTGCAATAAACACAGCGGCAAACAGGTTTCTTTTATTTCCTAAATTGCCTAACGTGAGGTCGTGCTTTCTCTTTTCAGCGAAGCGCCAAAGAAAAGAGATGTACCGAACCGTCCGCATTTTTGGACTGAAAAGTTTCTACACTTTTCAAACCTCAGCGAGGTTAGAAGGTTATCATCTCCACAGAAAGGAGGAGGCTCTCCTTCTTTTCTAAATGGAAAGAAGGAATTGGGGAAGAGTTTCCTCCTTTCGAGGTTGTTGGCAGTTTTAGATTAACTGTCTTGAACTTTGGAGTCTAAATTTGAAAATAAGAAACCTAGAGTTTTTGGAGTTTTTTTTTATGTTTAAGATTGTTAGGTTTCAAATAACAAGACCCTTTCTGAAACTCAGCCTGGCCACTTTGATCCCTAGCACCACCTTCTGGTGACTGACGAAGGAAGAAGTTGAAGGTACACCCAAGCGAATGGTGCAAAACCAACAGCATACAATGTGGCACACCAATTTTAATGCAAGACCTGCGTAGCAGTTTGGTTTTGCCTCGGGTCCAATCAATCTGAGGACATACAATCGGCTCTAAGGCCCCTTCCCATATAGAATTTTACCGAGGAATTTATTTAGGTTGCTGCTTTGCCCCGACCAGTTGTATCTCTGTCACCATGGAAACTGAGAGATTGAGAAAGAACTGCCCATTGAAAAGAATTTCTCGTTGACCGTCGAGTTGCAGAAGCCCAATGAAATACTCCATGTTCACTTCCACCCTTAGTATGGCAAATGTTAAATGTAATTTGAGCAAACAGATGGCACCGAACCTCAGGAAGTGTCTATTTCTAAGAATTAATGAATTGAAAGTCATCTAATTTTACACCAGTCACTTTCAAGATTGCAAAGGGCTCAGTTAGAACTGCATTTATTTTCAATATTCATCAATGATATCGTAGGAAACATTTCTTCTAGTATAAATCTGTATGCTCATAACTGCTTCTTTTGTTCTTTTCTTTTTTTTGCAGTAAGTATTTTAAATGATTGTATGGCGCGACAGACTGGCACTGATAGCATAATGAGTTCATGTTCCACTCGCGGCATGGACCTGAATGTTGCCAAGTGTCATTTTGTTTGGTTGACTAAAAATTAAACTCAGCCATAAGCATAAACCGTACTTGGTTTATGCATACACCGTAACTGAGAGCTAGGGTTTATGCATAAACCATAGCTCTCAGTTGCAAGTAAAATATTAGACGTCTCCGTACCTAGTTCCCATTGATGGCTTGTTCACGCTAACAGTGTCGCAGGGTGTATCTGTACTGGAGTATAAGGTTCTGTGATGCACAGTTCATTGATGTGGTAAGCATTTGTTTTGTAGACCTGGTAAACTGTTTGGTGTGGAACTTTTAGCAGGCTGATCCCCCTTAGTACGAAGCCCAATTCTAATCTTGTTTCGATATTTGATCACCATGTAATATTTCGACCCCTTCCCGGACACATCCACTGCAAGCCATATCGCAACTCCAGACCTCGACAATTGTGTACCAGCGGGTGTGTTTTGCCGCCTGTTGAGCAGTTAGCTAATTACTAACAAACTTTTCTTTCCGTGGTTTGTATTAGGTCTATTCACACGCTCCATCTTGTTGGCGAATCTTGTGTCGCGAAACTAGGTTTCGGGAAACAAATTTCCCGTCTAAACGCGACCGAAAAAGTGGCGCGTCTCCGAAAAAAGTGGTGCGTCTTCCTCGCTTCTGGAGCAATTTTTCACTGAAAGCTCACCGAGCCCTGTCAATCACCCGAAGTAGAAACGCGGACGCTGCCAATGGCAGCTGGACTTTGCTCTGACGTCTGACCTTCGAGGAGGAGCGAGCTTTTGGAGGAGTCTGATTTTCGGACGATTCGGTATCCGAGCCAAAGCCGAAAGAAAATAAACAAACATGGCGAACGACAAGCGGAGAAGTGGTGCATACGGGCGACGAGTCTTGGTCCTACTCGGTTGCAGGTGTGTGAACGGCGCCTACAGTACGGGTTGGTGGCGCGGTGCAGATTCATCAACAGTCACTACGAGTGCAAGCACCAGATATAAACCTGATGACTGGGAATAACTTTCTTTATTAGCGGTGCAAAAATGTCCGAAATGCTTCGAGATCATCTGCCTGTTCTTTGACGTTTGCGGTCTTTCCGGGGTTTGGCAGGACTAGTAAACCCAGTGTGCCTAACCTGACGAAATTCAATGAGTGGTATTAATAAAACAGACTGTCTCTTCACACTGTGCGTACTTCATATCATTTTGATGCGAAACGCTTGGTATTCCCGGTGCAGATGAAAAGGTTTGGCGAAATTCTCGTGAGTCAATACGCCACAGGTTTCGTGCAACAAAACTCCACGTGTGAACAGGCCGATTTCGCGCAATCTTGGTTTCGCTAAACTGTGGCGCGTTGAAAAGATGCATCGTGTGAATAAGCTTTTAGTTTGCATAACTGTATCTTGAGTGCGATCATATTTTTTTTCTTTTTCTTAATCACAGTGTTCTTGTGGAGGTGCACCAATAAAAACAGTATTGTGGTTGTTTTGGGACACTTTAAATAAAGATTATTAGTATTACTATAATGAAGCTGAAACCCTGCAATCTAACTAATCGACACAAATCAGTTAATTATACACAAACTCACATTTTCCATGCGAAGTCGCACAAGTTCTGACGATCCATTGTTGGGCATAGGAACCACCTTCGCGAGGGTCGCCTTCCTAGGATTCGGCTCCTGCGTGAATAGCGGCAAGTTGCACGTTAATTCCAAGCCACTGTGAATAGCAGGAAGTTGCACGTTAATTGCTGCAACTGAGCGAGGAACAACCTTCAATTAGCGCACGTCCTCAGGACCTACGAACAAATGCAATCACCGATTGAACTCTTTCCCGATGCCAGTCTCACATGTCGTACCTGGATAAGACATATATTTGTTTGGTTTCTGTCATTCAAACGTCTGATCGTGTTACTCGCTCACGAAAACCGGATGCACGTGAGCTCCTTTATAGACTGCCACGCTATCTGACACGGAATTAGCGTGAAATCGGTTGAAAATCTCTGCCAAGTTTTTATGCAACCAGGCTCAACTGTAATCAGCAATCTGTGATCAACTTCATCGGTGCACGCGGAGTCGGCGTTCAATACCGAAACTCCGTTACCATGATAACGGGACCATACGTTACGGCTCACGCGCGCAGCTTTTTCGGAGAATCGGCATTCGGACGACGCACACTCATCGCGCCGATGCTCGGAAACGAACTCACCTTGGTGCAGGAGAGAAAACATCGTACGTGCACCGACCAGTGGCAAAATAAGCACGTCAGTATGTGGACGACGCCGAGGCACGCGAGCGCTATGAGCCCCGGCTCGTAATAGTCAGACACACCGTACACACACGTCCAAAGGTACAGCCACAGCGTGTAGAGGGCAACGAAGGGACTAACACAACCGTCCAATAAAAATGGCCTGCGACAGTGTAAGGAAACATGCTGCACGAGCTCATCGACACCTGTCGTCACCGGCGGCGCCATCTTGGCAACGGCGACCGACCAGCCGATTTTTTTGCTGTTTGTCAGCTTTTTTGTAGTTTTGAGTTTCGCCACAGCGGCCCGCCACAGTCGCTGTAAAATACTCTCTTATCGTCGTTTTTCTTTTTAATTATTATTATTTTCAACTGCAGTCAATATGAACTCGCGCTGCAAACCTTAATTCAGCGTTTAAATTATATACTGAAATTTAATTACAAATATTATCAGAGTCCGAAACCGAAAGCATTCACGATTGCTTGAACGGTTTTATGGCTGAAAATTAGAGTTTTATGAAACCGTTGTTGGCACAACCGATACGGTACGATTGGTCCTACGATATGAGCTGCGTATGCGCTACCACAGAAGACTCGCATATACGCATTTCGTACAGGAGGGCCCATCGTTCGGTGTCTCTTTTACTCCCTAGGCTCACTCACGGTGTAGGTACGGTGCCTGGAACGCGTCTGCAACAGACCGATGTCACCAAGCGAACGGCGCAGGCGCGCGCATTCCGGAAGTGGTGCCGCCACTGGTGCCGCCACCATGCTATTGTAGTCATCCCTTCCCGGCTACATACGGCCATAATACTATGGTGCCTGGATCGCGTCTTCGACTAATGTGTTTAGCGTCCTATCTCGCTCATACATCAAAAGTGGTCCCGATGTGGCAACAAATGACGCCAGTGTCATGCTGTTGCCTGTCACGATCCTGGCGGTTGACCGTAGAAATGCTGGCGAAAAGCTCGAGCGAACGCGAGTGTCGCTGTCGTCGCGGCGTCCCTTTAGGTATCCCAGGCGTCCCAACTCCGGCTGCTCTAGCTTCCGTGAACTGTCACAGTAAAAAGCGACGTGCAGCAGAACAGGCATCTGCTACATGCACTACAGCTGTTGGGACGCCGCCAGGGTCGCGACCGGCGACAGCATGACACTTCTATGACGTCATCAGGCGGAAATCGAGGGACCACTTTTTTGGCCGCGGTAAACACACCAGTCGGAGACGCGTTCCAGGCACCATAATAATACGGCTGCGCGTACGTACATCACCATAGATAATCATTTGGCAGGCCCCGGTATCACCTTGATTGTCTGGCATGTTTTGACTTCATAGGATTGTGTTGTTTGTGATGCCTTACTTTCCTCAGCAAGTGCAGAAAAGCAGTTTCGGTTGTCCTCGCTTTAGAATCGCTTTGTCGTCTGCTTCGTCGTCGTTGGCTTCTTCGTCTTCGTGAACGTGTGAGCCCACTGCCGTTCACGGGGTAATCCCACTGCGGCCGCGGAAAAAACAAAGCAAAAAAACAACGGCGCCACTACTCGAGCATTCCGACTTCTCGGACGTCTCAATTACCTAGCAAAGAAGTGAACATCTAGTGCAATAGCAAAGAACAAGAAAATTCGAGGGACCATCGGCTCGGTGTAGCACCACGGAACAGCATCAGATGGGATGAAAAACTGAGCTTGGCGGTGCTCAGTCTTGTGCATAACGTTTAATCAGCCATCAAGTAAGAGGAGCTAAATAGACTTTCTCGGTGAGCGATAGTTTTCTAAAAGTTGTTTCATTCTGGTTGACAGCCTGTGCGACAGAGTACAGATGAACCGCGGGAGAAGCCTGTACACAAATAACTGATCTACAGAAAGGCCATGCCTGACGCGCCGTAATAATTGGCATCTATCAAAAAAAAACAAAAAAAAACATGCCAGATACCCGAAAGCTTGGGGTGGAGATGATTTTTCGTGCACAGTTTCTATTCAGTTTTATTTTGTTTGCTCAAGATCCGAACGCCAACAGTCGCCCGACGGGCCCGGGAAGCTTTTTTCTGCAGTCTCGACTGGTGCTAGTGCAGAATGGATCAGTAACACCAGCCTAATAGACCGCCACAAAATGGATGAGGTTCGTTTGTTACATTTTTGGCGGTAAGTACGTGTTGCACTTCTAAATTGTATTATGTCATTTTTTCGCGTTGGTGTGGAAAAAAAAAATAAAGGCTGCTTCCGAAAAAAGTTGTTTTATATCACGTGGTGCATATCGGGAATCGCTGCTCTTTTGTAGTGATTATCCTGATCTTTTGAAGCACAGTTGTCCTTGAAACATGTCGTCGCAATAACAGTTATAACCACCAAAATACACCGAGTAAGAAGTGTATTAAAAACGGCCTCCGCAAAGCAGTGCGGAGGTCCTATTTGAGATAGACCAACGAATAGGCCGCTACGGAGCAAATGGTTAGAGAGATTCCAGCTCACGGAACACTTCGGCACGCTCCATGTCTCGTGCCCTGCAATCTTACATATTTTAGCTGACGTGCAATAATTGGATATTGCCGCGCGCAAGGCTGAGAAAGCAACGCTCGGTCACGGTCCTCCAGAAAGTTCCCGTTTATTCATGTACCGCACGCAACTTCTATCATTCATCCCTGCTTTTGTTTTCTAGAAAGTGCGTGTTCATTCTCGCCCCGATCACGCGACGCTCGAACCGCTTTCGCCGAATCTTCGAGATAGCGGCGCACTCTAGATAAGAGGCCGCCCGCGACCTTGTCGAGTCAGTCTCGCCCTAGCGCTCGATTCTGCTGACACGCCGACTTCGACGCCCGCGACGCTCTGCTTTCTTCTGTTTTGCTTCTTTATTTTTGGCACAAGTTCGCCACATTAAACGTTTATTTATTTCTGTTTGTTTCTTGTTTATTGGTCACGACTCACCACCCGTGACATTCTGGTGGAGGTGCTGGGTACCGCATGTTCGTGCAGCGCAGCCCTCCGAGTTCCCGCAGTACACGTCCGAATCCACGCTCCCGAGGACCCAACGAAGACCAGATCGAGACTCGATCAAGTCGCCGCACCCAAGGGCTAAACCCGGAATACGGACTTCTACCACCCAGGACCAGGCAGCCGATGATGGCCAACCAGTCGCAGACCCCCGCCGCTCCTGCCGTCGTCTACCTACCCGTCGCTCCTCGGACACCGGCTCCGTTCCACGGCGAACTCCACGAAGACGTTGAAGATTGGATCGACCAATTCGAACGCGTCGCCCGCCACAATAGCTGGACCAACGAGCAACGGCTGCAAAACGTGTATTTCTCGCTCGAGGGGACTGCCAGAAGCTGGTACGAAAATCACGAGTCTTCATTGACATCCTGGGACATTTTCAAGAGCCAGCTGAAGGCGACATTTGTCAACCAGCACCGCCGAGAGAGAGCCGAAGACTTACTTCGTACCAGGACTCAAGGCCCCAACGAGAGCATTACCGGCTTCGTGGAGGATGTTCTCCGCCTAAGCGCCCGCGCCGATCCTCAGGCTACCGAAGAGAAGAAGCTGCACCACCTGATGAGGGGTGTGAAAAGCGAGATTTTTGGCGGTCTCATCCGGAATCCCCCAACAACAGTCGACGAGTTCATCACGGAGGCGACAAATATGGAACGGGCCTTGCTAGCCCGCGCCAGACACTACCAACGACACCCTGGCGTAACTACTCTAGCGACATCTGGATCCGACCTGGGCACCACCCTCCCCGGCATCCGTGCCCTTATCCGTGAAGCCATCCAGGAGGAGTTGAAGAAGTTGCTACCTGCTGCCACAAGCCTGGCTACGCCCTCAGTCGCCGAGATTGTCCGGGAAGAACTTCAGCAGGCGCTGCAGCCAGAAGTTCTCGCCAGCGCCGCTCCTGAACCACCGAAGCTGAGCTACGCCGCAGCTACCCGACGACCACCGCCCCCTGCTCACCCGTATACGGCGCCACCTCGACGTGAACCTCTAGCGCCGCAGTATTCACGAAGCCATGAAGATCGGGCGTACGTCCGCCCAGAACAAGCTGCTCCACGAAAGACCGACGTGTGGAGGACGGCCGATCGACGCCCGTTGTGCTACCACTGCGGGGAGGCCAACCATATCTACCGTCGTTGTCCCTACCGGCAAATGGGCCTGCGTGGGTTCCACCCGAACGACCCACGCCCGAGGTACGGCGAACGCCCTCACGACATCGAGGAGTACCTCCGACGTTCGCCCTCCCCAGTGTCGTCTCTCCGCCGTGAAGCCCGCTCCCCATCGCCACGACGTTCAGCCTCCCCAGCGCCACGATCCCGCCGAGAGAGCCTGTCTCCCCTGCGTCGTCGGGAAAACTGAGTGCGGCAACGCCTGGAGGTGACGTTGCCGAAAACGACGGAAGCAAACAGCCTCCAAAAACGCCGGAGCGCTCCCACTCTCTCGACGCCCCGCATTGCACCGACGCGCCTGCAACGGTGTCCAACAACCTAAACGTTGTTATCGATGGCCAAAACGCATCGGCACTCGTTGACACCGGGGCAGACTACTCAGTATTGAGTGGGAGGCTCTCTCGCCACCTTCGAAAAGTCACGACGCCGTGGGATGGACCGCAGATACGAACCGCCGGAGGACACCTCATCACGCCTGTCGGAAGGTGCACCGCTCGCGTCGAAATTCACGGCGAGACGTGTCCTGTGAAATTCGTCATTCTACAAGACTGTTCCAGAGACGTCATTCTCGGCATGGACTTTTTGTGTGAATACGTACGGCGCCGTCATCGACCTTGGAGAAAACAGATTGACGCTGCGGACACCTGTTCCGCCTTCAGAGAAACTCCAAACTGCGTCAGCCGCCGTCCGAGTCGCTGCCGACCACGTGAATCTGCCGCCGCGATCAAGTGTTGTCGTACCTGTCGTGACCGATGCAGCTACCCGTAGCGAAGTTCTTCTGGAAGGTAACCTCCAGTTGCTCCTGGGAAGAGGAATAGGCGTCGCACGAGGAGTAGCTGAACTTCAGGATGGCCGCACTGTGGTCCTCGTGACGAACTTCCGGAATGAAACGCAACACCTCACAAAAGGTGCAGCCGTTGGCCACGTCGAGGATCTCCGAAACTCCGCCGAAATCGCCGCCATTACTGATGAATCCTCGCCACCTCAGCAAGACGGTACGTCGCCAGCGCAACTCGACATCGACCCTAAGCTTCCGGACCCGAAACGACGGCAGCTGATTAACCTCCTCGCCGAATACCGTGACTGCTTTGCGACCTCGTCGAAGGTACGCCAAACAG